TATGTCGTACCCGTTTTTTGAAATTTTGATTTTGCCATATCCCGTACCCGTACCCGTTTTTGTACCCATATCCGTTTCCGTGCAACTTAGTTGGGTATCACTCCTCATGTATTTGGTCTTATTGGGAGTGGCCAAGTGGTCTATAACCTCAAAAGGCATTGATTGTTGGAGGGATTTTGATTCTAGCAGATATAAATTGGTTGAGGGATTGGTCAAAGCAAGTCAAAATCTTTAAAATTGGGCAAATGTCTACTTTCAGTGTGCTCCAATAAATCTTCTGGTTTTGTACATTAGTACGTAGATTTAATTTTGATACTTGATGCTTATATTGCTTAATGTATAAATCTTTGCTCATTCAAAATGAAACATTCTGTTAATTTTATGCCCTGTTTCATTGTTTCATATGTTAATGTATGGTTAGGTTTTGATTTCAAATCATACAAGAAGGAAAGCAATTTAGTGATTCAAGATGAAGGCTTTGATTCTTGTTGGAGGTTTTGGAACTAGGCTGAGGCCATTGACACTCAGTGTCCCTAAGCCTCTTGTCGATTTCGCTAACAAGCCAATGATCATGCATCAGGTTTGTAATCTTCTCTATAATGAATATGTGTTCTTGGGATTTGATGTGCCTCTATGTTTTGTAATGATTGCCTGCATTTTTCCATTTGTGACACCTTAAAGAATATGTTGATCCTTATGTCATGTCACAATTTAGACTTCAGAATTATAATGCCAAATTGCCCAAATATCATGAATATGGAATATGGAGTTATTTGATCTATGTGCAAGTAAGAATTGTAAAAGCATTTTTGCTGTGAAAGACTAGTTTTTTCTCATATATTTCTACAATTATTATGCTCAGATTGAAGCTCTGAAGGCTGTTGGAGTTACTGAAGTGGTTTTGGCTATCAATTACCAACCTGAGGTGAATTTTTTGTGCTATGAAGAGTATGAACTTGGTTGCACACTTGCAGATGCTGCTATAGTGCCAAGTATTAACACAAATATATATTCTGTGCCTTTGACAGGTGATGTTAAACTTCTTGAAAGACTTTGAGGCTAAGCTTGGGATCACAATTACCTGTTCCCAAGAGACTGAACCTCTGGGTACTGCTGGTCCTTTGGCTTTGGCTAGGGACAAACTGGTTGATGAATTGGGTGAGCCATTTTTTGTTCTTAACAGCGATGTTATAAGTGAATACCCGCTAAAAGCAATGATTGAGTTCCACAAAAGTCATGGAGGAGAGGCTTCGATTATGGTAACAAAGGTACTTAAACTAGACTGCCCTCTCTCTTCATTTTCCGATAACCATTAGTGTGATCTTTTTGTCAAATCTTTAATGTTCTTGTAATCTAACAGGTTGATGAACCATCAAAGTATGGGGTTGTAGTAATGGAGGAATCAACTGGGAAGGTAGAGAAGTTTGTTGAAAAACCCAAAATCTTTGTGGGTAACAAGATTAATGCTGGAATTTACCTTTTGAACCCATCCGTCCTTGACAAGATTGAACTAAGACCCACTTCAATTGAAAAAGAGGTCTTTCCCAAAATTGCATCTGAGAATAAGCTCTTTGCTATGGTTCTACCTGGTTTTTGGATGGACATTGGACAACCAAGAGATTATATTACTGGCTTGAGGCTCTACCTTGACTCGCTGAGAAAAAATTCGTCACCAAAACTTGCCAGTGGCTCTCATATTGTTGGCAATGTCTTAGTTGATGAGAGCGCGAAAATTGGAGAGGGATGTCTCATTGGGCCAGATGTAGCAATTGGACCTGGCTGTGTGATAGAATCGGGTGTGAGACTTTCTCGCTGCACAATTATGCGAGGGGTTCGGGTCAAAAAACATGCTTGCATCTCCAGCAGCATCATCGGATGGCATTCAACAGTTGGGCAGTGGGCTCGAGTAGAAAATATGACTGTTCTTGGAGAAGATGTTCACGTCTGTGATGAGATTTACAGTAATGGCGGAGTTGTTTTGCCCCACAAGGAGATCAAAACTAGCATTTTGAAGCCGGAGATAGTAATGTGAGTCAGATAGCTCCTCCGACGAGGTAGATTATTCTCAGGAAGTTGTAATTTAATACTATTCATATGTTCTCCGTTGCATAATTGCATTTTGTTAAGAGTGAGTTTTGGCAATTTTTCCAATGAGCATCCCTATGTGAAGTGTGTATGTTAATTGTTAATCATTTATCTCACTAGCCCTGTGCCCTTGCTCCCAAGTTGTGTACATAGGAAAATAATTGTATTTCTATGGATTTTTCTGCGGTTCATCTCATTGATTTTTTGTTGTAATCTTTCAATAATACATTCTTGATTTCAAAATAAAATTTTCTTGAAATTGCAAATGAAATTTTAGAGCAGTGTAACTTCCATGCCCAACCAAACTCTACTGATTCAAAATAAATGATGTGTTTGGTAGTGGTGGAACCACAATTTACCCATCAGGGGTGGCCCGTATGCAATATTGGTTTCGTTGAGAAATGATCATTGATCACTAGTGTTTTTATTTTCAACTTTTAATAGGTATCCAAATCTATAGGTGATGCCATGCCCAACTAAAATTTAACATGTAGGCTATAGGTCTTGTTCATATTTGATAAAATAAGTTTAGTTCAATAAAAAGACAAACGTCAAAATCTTGAAACATCGCTATAATCGTGAAACCTTTATAAGCAGGAGTTTCATTGAGTAGGATATGATTTGGTACTACAAAAAGCATGGGACATTACATTTGGTAGTAATGCTCAAGTCTTTTGAGGACAGGCTGCTAAAAGTGGAAAATAAAAATGGTGATTAAAACTCTAATTAAAGGCCATTCTCCATTTTTCGTGTGTGACCAAATTTGCTGTGAAAGTGTCCTACCATGTGAAATGGCAACCAATGCCACCTCCCTTCTATTATTCTTTTTTTTTTTTTTTTTTTTTTTGAGGGAATCTATTATTCTATTATTACTGTGATTGGTTGATCCCTAAGTTAAGTTTTTTTTCATGCATCTCAACGTGAAGATGTCAGAACAGAAAAATAATAAATAAAAACTTTGTGATAATATTAGTCTTCAAAATTTTAATTACTGAATAAACCATTGATTGATTTTTAGATTTTAATAATACGTAGTTAGTTAAATTTTGATACGAATTATATAATTTACTTCCAAAGACAAATCTAAAAAATCTAACATATTTTTGAACACTTTAGATCTATTTAGTCAATATTTATGTAGATCATGTTGACATTTGGACTTTTCGATTTTTATTTATTTATTTATTTTTGACAAAGAATTTTGGAGTAGTTGTATACCTGTATTTGTACATTACTAAATTAGTTATGTTTGGAAGATTTGGCCAATTGGTCCCTTCCAAAAGCTAATCAATATTCTTAGGAATCTTAAACAATTTGTAGAATATTCTCTTTGGTGCTAGCGGCTACCCCTCCCCCCCCCCCCCCCCCTCTCACAACTTAAGGACCATTCATTAATCTCTCATTCAGTTTTTTAACAACCTGTAAGCACCCACTACCCAGTACGGGTGATATCCTATTCGATTTACACTTACAATTACAAAACTTACAGTACAAATCTAAAATTTTATTTCAATATAACACACGTATATTTTTTATGTGCATCGGTTTGACCGGACTAAGTTTTAGGAAATGAGTTGGATGGTGTAATTGTTTGGAAAATAACAATCATACAGAGTAGAATAGAGATACCCGTAATAAAAAGTAAGGGATGTGAGAGGAAAAATATTATAAAAGGGTGGAGACCATATGAGGAGTGAAATATAATTAAGAAAAATATAAGAGAAGAAGTTCAAAAAAAAAAAAAAAAATTAATACACTTAAAAATATAAGGCCGATTTAAAAAAGTGATACACTTAGAAAATTCAAAGGAAGTACATATGTATACACATGTTGACCTGTATAAATTTGTATACACTTAGGGCCTGTTTCGATTTACTGAAAACAAATGAATAGAACTGAACTGAACTGATTGGAGCTGAACTGAACTGAATTGTTTATGAGAAAAGGAAATTAGGAACTGAACTGAAATTATTGGAGCTGAACTGAACTGAATTGAACTGAAATAGGCTGAACATAACAAGCCCTTAGTCCTTAAGTTGTAGATCAAACTCCGATATTGATTTCCTTAGTTAAGTAATTCAATTGAAAGGTACGATCTGCCATGATATTTTACATACTTTGAATATTACTACCTTGTATTACGCGGTAACTTTTTATTTATATCGAACTTTTATACTCCGTCCGTCTCATAATACAATGTCTCTTTAAGTTTTTACGCGGAAATTATGAGAGTTGCAAATTCCTTAAAACTAATAATTAAAAGTACATATGTGCATATGGAGTTAGAGAGAGATAGAGAGAAATAAAAAGTACTCCGTAGTTGGGAATAATTGAAGAGATAGAGAGAGAAAGTATTAGAAATTGATGTTAAAAGTACAATATAAAAAAAAATAAAAAAAAAGGGAGGACAACTCATCGAAAAGAGGGTAATAAATGTCGAAAAGTACAACCTTTAAATAGAAAGAGACATTGTATTTTGGTTTTCCCAAAAAGGAAAAGAGGCATTGTATTATAAGATAGAGAGAATAACAACTATTAGAATAAATTTACAATTGTTGTACAGTTAAGGTTTGTTCTCTTCAGCTTAATTTCAGTTCAACTCCAATCAGTTCAGTTCAGTTCAGTTCCTAATTTCCTTCTCTCATAAACAATTCATTTCAGTTCAATTCAGCTACAATCAGTTCAGTAAATCAGAACAAACCCTTACAATAACTTTATAATGTAGTATAATATTTATACATTCGATTCATTTATGCGTAATAGATAACTGAATATATTAATGGTTAAAATTTTACATTAACAAGCAACATCGGTCAAACCGATATATTTATTTTTCGACAGAGTGAGCATCAAAATTATGAAATGACAATTTCACCCTCTATCCACCGAGCAACTCACTCGTAGAGTCGTAGCTTCTTAAACCCTAAACCTCCTCATTTCTTTCATCCCCATCATTTCCCTAAACCCCTTAAACCCTAAATCCTCTCTCTTTCTCCAAATTTCAACAATGGCGTTCTCTGCAATTCTTCGAAGATCTGCAAACAAGGCGGCTCCTCTTGCTTCTCGTCTTATCGGAGCTCAGAGGAACTTCCAATCTCCGGCCGTCGTCTTCTCCGCCGTCAAGCGCGCTTCTCTCTCTCCTCAGTTCCTTCGGTCTGCTGCTTGCTACCCCACCCGCCATTTCTCTTCCAGCGTCGCCACCAAATCTTCTTCGTCTAACAACAAGCTTCTTGATGTCCTTCAAAGCGAAATCAGTGTTGTTGAGGAGTCTGAGGAACACGATAAGGTCCTCTCATTACTTCTCTCTCTATGATTTGATTTAGTAATATTTCTGAAATATTGCGTTTGTGATTTTTGATTTTTTAGGGTTACTTTCGATTCTTGTGAATTGGGTTTATTCTTGATTGTTCTGGATACCTAGGAAATTAGATAAATTAACTTGGGTTTTCTTTGATTCATCTTTTCTTTGCCAATTAATTGTGTTGATTTGTCCAGATTTACATTATTCGAACTTTTTTATGCTTTTTAATGTTATTGGATTTCAATTTCGTGTGAATTTCTGCCATATATGTGTGGTTAGTTTATATTGATGCTAACCAAGTGACAACAACACACTCTACGATTTCGTGTTGAAATGTTGAATTTTATGATTGTATATTGTACTCCAATTGTTAGTTGAAGTAGTAGGAAGTTTATTCAGAATACATTGAACTTTGGCCAATGTATTTTATTGCTTTTACAATAATTACTGTGTATATAGATTTATATTGGAAAATGTTCAACATCCTTGACCACGAGAAGTCAAATGTAGCTTATATATAGGGGTGAAGCCTTGAAGGTAGCATGTGCTGTAATTCTTGAGCAGTATCCTCGGATTTGATACTGATGCTGTATTTTACGATTCATACATTTGTAGACTGTAGAGGTTCCCAAAGGCTTCCCTTTTGAAATTGAGGACAATGTTGGAGAGCAGACTGTGACCCTAACAAGACAATATGAGGGTGAGACCATTTCAGTTGAAGTTTCCATGCCCAGCCTTGTAACTGGTGAGGAAGATGAGGACGAGGACGAGGACCAAGATGACGAGGATGAAAAAGACGAAACAAGCACACAGTCCAGTGTTCCACTTCTTGTAACTGTCACCAAGAAGGATGGGTCGTCTTTGGAATTTGATTGCACTGCTTATCCAGATGAAATTTCAATCAACAGTCTCTCGCTTAAAAATCCTGAAACTGAAGATCAACTTGCATACGAGGGTCCTGATTTCCTGTAAGTTGTTATTCATGCTCTACAATTTGAGTTCTAATATTTTGAGCATTATATATGATGTTCTGTATCTCTAACTTGTGCATTTACTCGACTTTTCCTTAGTGATTTGGATGAAAATCTGCAAAAGGCCTTCCACAAATATTTAGAGATCAGAGGTATCAAGCCAAGCACCACAAACTTTTTGCATGAGTACATGATCGAGAAGGATAACAAGGAGTATCTTAGGTGGCTCAAGGACGTGAAGAAATTTGTTGAGGCATAGGCTTGGTCTATGGGCAGGAAATTGACCAGGAACCCGTCCCATAAAAGATTTTGATGCTAGTTACAAAATTGTTCTTGCTGCTCGTTTTAATACACAATATGTAAGAAACAAGCTTATTGAACGTATATTTTTGAGACTATTTGCTCCATTTCAGTAGTTCAAGCAAAATTTGTAGGATGTTCTATGGCCTTACTTCCCCAGTCCTTAATTGCCCTTTTTTGTTCTACTGGTGGAATTAGTTTCCAGTATTCGCAGCTTCAGGAAGTTTATGATGTGTATACCCAACAATAAGTGATTCTTAACATTGGTTTCTCTACTGGTTTCGTTATCACTTTCACTTTGGTATGCGCAGGGTTATGGCAAAATTAAATTTCATTTGCCAGGGTCTATTTCTAAGAGCATTAATAAAAACCATGTTTGTGAGCTGATGTATATGTGAATGCTTCATACTCTATTTATCAGCTGAACTTTTGGTACATTCTTCACAAACTTTCATTGTTTTGGTAATTCTCTTTATAGACCGGATTCTGCTGCCATAAAGCGACAGATTATCCTGCTTGGTGTATGAATGAATACTTTTCCTTTCCTTTTGGGAGAGCAGTTGCATCAAGGCGATATTGCAACATCAATACACCATATTGCGTTTACAGTGCTAATGCGGAAAATAACATACTTCGTGGGTAAATAATAATTGGCTGCATCAAACATCGCAAACAAGTTCAAGGAAGATAAGATAATTTTGCGTGTAAATAACTGAAAACCTTCTTCAACTAGATATTGTTTATTTTGATAAGGACACAATAAATAGCCTCTACAATAGTCTCAACTACACGGAGATGGGTCAGAAGTAGAAACTACGACATACATAGACTACCCAAAAGGCAGCGGGAGAGAGGACAAGAAAAATGCAGATCCTTTTCCCCCACACAAACTGCACTACTATGGGGGGTCGCTAAGGAACAATAATAAGTGTTAAACAAAATTTTAAAGAGTTTATGACACAATTGGAAGATCCTTGTGGGTATATACCACGCCTTTGTCACCGTCAACAATTTGCCCGCTTCCCTTGAGAATCCTGCGCAAGGGACAATAAGCTCCAGTCAGCAGCAATAACATTTCAATTTACATTAACAGCAGGAAGTGCAAAAAAGAGGTCTGTTCGTTTAGTATAGATCATAGGGATATAGAATCAGCAGTAATGCCTGTACATCAGTAGGACAATTAAATTTTGATATCCTAGACCAATCACCACCATTTCTCATAGCATAACATTAACAACATGAACACCAAAAGCAAAGCAAATTAGATACTATAACCTAATCGATGATGTGCGATAAGACATGCAATACCATCAAAGCCATGTTAATCTTAAGAATTACTTCTGAATCTTAGATAATATCGTACTAAGCTATTGGGAATGTTGGCATGGACATACCATCTTGTGGTCAATAGCCCCTCCACTCCAACTGGACCTCGAGCGTGAATCCTACTTGTACTAATCCCAACCTGTAGGAGATTAAAATATTGTGATATGAGATATTATTGAAGTGCAATAATATTTTTTACTAATTCAAAGAGTGTTTTGAGAATATACCTCGGCACCTAGCCCAAAACGAGCCCCATCACAGAATCTCGTACTTGCATTGTGAAATACAGCGGCACTGAAAGTTTACATAAAAAGCCACGATGAAAAATATATAATAACAATCAATCGTTCAAGCATGTTCTTATGTGTTAGTTCTTACGGGAAAAGTATCAAAATGCTCCAATTTTGTTAGATTTAAATCTAGGGCTGCTATGATAATTAAGATAAAATGCAAGGAATTAAGCACATAAGTATTTGGCACATAATTCTCAGCTTTGAACAAATACGATGTCCTTACCTATCTACTTTCTGCAAAAAAGCTTCCGCAACTTTCTGATCTTCTGCTACAATGCAATCGGTATGTGCACTGAAAACCCACAATGCAAAAGAGATTAGGGTCGAGATTCAGAATCACCTGCCATACTTAGAAGATTGAACTGAGATATGAAAAACATGGTTGAGAAACTACCTTCCATGTTGATTAATATGTTCAATGGCAGCATGTACATTATCCACTATTTCCACTGTACAAGCAGGAGTGTTGTACTCCTTGTGGAATGTTTGAGTAGCCGGAATATTCAGCTCCTGCAAGGCACTGATTCTTGGTCCACCAAACAAATCAACACCTGCAACACCAGTGTGTAAGTTCTGACTCATGTAAAAAGTACGAAGTAATTAGAATGACTGCGATGCATACCTTCGGATCTAAGATCACGAACAAGCTCGTTCAAGCCTCCATTCTGTAGCAGATCCTTGTGTACAAGCAGCGTTTCCTAGAAGGTGATAACAAAGCATGCCAAAAAGAATTATGAAGTTAAAGCTGAGATTCATCGCAACAAGATGCAGAGAAACTCATAGAATGGGAGATTTACCATTGCATTGCATGCAGCTGGGTAGTCCATCTTTGCATCCAAAACAACCCGCTTTGCCATATCCATATTAGCAGATTTGTCAACATAGACATGACAAATTCCATCTAAGAAGATAACCATGAAGATTGATCAGTGATAACATCTGGTGTCCTAAATAATAGGTCCTAGTAGATACCAAGGTTTACATGATTCAAAGTTAAGAATTAACTTACCAGCATGCCCAAGCACAGGAATTTTTGTTGACTCTTTAATCTGAGAAACAAGTTTATTGCTGCCTCTTGGAATGACAAGATCAATGACGTCATCAAGCTGCAGCAGCAATAAATGTTTTTTAGTAAGGATCATCATAGCTACCCCAACATAATTTTGGAAACATATATATGGTTATTTACCTTGAGCAAATCAGGAATCTCCTCTCTCGTGGTAACTAGACCAATTAGTTTCTCACCAACATTGCCTGGTAGAGCACCAGTAATAACCTGAAATCAAAAAAAAAAGTTCTTTAATATCTGAGATATTTGGCAGTTGTGCATACATTTTGTTTCCTTTAAACTTTTAACAACTAATAAAACAATTTAGCTTGAAAGCAAATATAAAGAGACATCAAAAGAGGAGAAAGGAGGGAGGGGTATAAACCTTGTGTAAGATAGCATTTGATCTCTTTGCCTCCTTTCCACCCTTCAAAAGAAGCCCATTTCCACTCCGCACGGCTAATGAAGCTATCTGAAATATAGGTTTGGAAAGGAGAAGGGATGGTTAGTGAATAACAAGGAATTATCATGCCACGTAAAATCAGATCACCATCTAAGCTATTATATTACAGTCTAATAAATATAAGATCCAACTGATTTCCATGTTTAATCTTGCGTGTTTTAAGAGAAACAATCTACAATATCGTGTATTGAAAAATGTTGCAGTTTTTTAATTTGAAAAAAAAGGCAGCGAGAGATAATTAAGAGTTGCATGTTTCTGAACATCTCATTACATCAGATTCAATCAGTAACAACCAATATTAAGTATGTGTATTTTGCTGTGGTGACAATGTCTTGGGAGTTGAGAGTCCCCATTACCAATCAAAAATTGTAGGCATTATATTAGTATTAGAAAGGGAAAATTCATATTTATCTAAATAATATATTACATTCTAAAATATAGCCAAGTTCATCTAATGATCATAATTCAAAGCCCAAAAGCACCAAATCAAAATACACTTTGTCATCTTAACAAGATGATCAGAAAAATTTGGTACATAATCTACCTTCAAAAGATGTTTTCCACCATTGCTTGGCTAAGAACACACAAACTCAAAGGCAGCAACACTTATTGCTTATTGGTCACATATTTTGTCAATAAGAGAATATGTACCCTTAGGACAACACTCTTTTTCTGCCATCAACTATACTAATTCGGCCTGCTTAGTAATGCACTGCACTCCAAGCCTTATGGATATTGCCATGAGATTCTAGGTCCACAATAAAGTTCAAGTCTGCAATTACAGCTTCATCGAGAATAATTAAAATCAGCTATTGACATTAACAGAAACAGCAAGACATGTTCATGATACAACAAGAACATTAAGCTCTTCTTCTAATTGAAGACGCAATTCTAAAGTAGCTTACTAGCATCTGGACATTGGAATGTATTTGGACCAGTTGAAACTTGTCAACTCCCCTTTCAGGATTTCATCTTTAAAAAGCCACTGAAATACATTAATGAACTTTCTACTCAAAAGTCTTGAAAATGATAATTTAATTCATATTGATATTCTTTATAAACACGATGTACAGCTCAACATTCATGTCAACAATCAGCCACTACATTGCACCAACTATGTGAAGTGGATACCCTAATTATCCACTCAAATTATCAATGAGAACGAGGAATTTTACCCATTTAACAGAGAATACAACTTTCCGCGAGCCCTGAAAATCAAACCAAAATCCTCGTGGTAGTGCCACCAATTTTCTACTCATGAATATAATAGTTAATATTTCCCTTTTTAACTTGGACATTTCGCTTCTCATGCCATGAAAATCATAAAGCAGGACACTTCTATGTTCCAGAAATTTGTCACATTACCTATGTTAATCAATTAAATTTATCTCAGCCAACTATCACAATTTGGACACTGCAGCATGTGCTGACACTTCAACTTGCATAGAATGCAGATTTTTCATAGCTTGGCTGAGTGCAATACCTATACACCTTTAAACCTACCCATATCCAACACTAGTATTCGTTGCTCAATAACATCCAATTGGCTACATCGGTCATATATCACTAATCTAGAGATGTCACATCAGGTAGGTCTGTCATTTATACAGGTGAATCGGACAAAATTGATTGATATGCCTTATCTACTCACCAGACCCATCAGATAAATATAACATCACAATCTAAGTAACTGTATTTGTGGCACAACTGCACAAGACCTTGCTAGCATATGTCAAGAATCGCGGCTATCATTCCCCAAATTGAGAAAACACCTTATCTAGTTAGGGCAAAGTCAAAACACCTTTTGTTATTTCAAGAGAATCTTAAAAGTACTAAACAAATGATGAGATCATATATGCGTCAAAAGTTCTCTAATAGGAAATTTGAAGACACCAGGAGATGTGATAATTTTAGCAAGGGATTGTTATGTCTGATGAAGAAATGCAATCGCTATACATGATTTTGCGGTACGACTTTAAAATATGCTACATAATGATCTATCACATATAAGAAAGTTGGAAATTCTCTATGCAGTGGCTCATAGATGGCCTTTGTTATTTCATTCCATGCTACAAACTGGCATCTTCATGCACCAACTGCTATTGTTATCGCTTTCTCATTATTGTATGCCAAGCCCCAAGCTAAACAAGAATTAGAAACCAAAAGACTATTTTTTTAATAACTGACAGGAACGGGGGGAAAAACAACAGTGTCAGTGCGAAGCTAATATAAGCATTGCAACTTTGCAGGGCATTATACTTGAGAACACCAACCAAAATGATACAAACCTGAACTAAAGCTTCAGGACGAGACTCGAAAACAATCAGGAGAACACCCAATGGACATGATGTCTTCTCCAAGACAAGCCCATCTGCAATCTGAAAGGTAGACATGAGAAAGCAAATACATCAGTATATTTTGCTGCAATAAAATTGAATTTTTATCCTAAGAGCACAAACTTCAGGTTCTACAGATATATCAGTTTGTCCACAAATATGTTCTCTGTCCTATGAGCATTATACAAAATATAGATCAAAGGTATGTATCAAAACCTCTCATACCTCAGTTTTCTTTAAAATTTGACCAATAGGCTCCTCCATATCAGCAAGGACACGAATTGATTTGGCAAGACTAGAAATCTGCATATCCAAAAAGCACATGATGAAAAAACTACCAGAAGAAAAGTGTGTGCAGAAACTCACATGAATTGTGGACAGACAGTGATATAGTAGACATGACAAGACCAAACAGGCCAATCAGATCAATATATAAAGCAGTATCTTGCCTTGCCAGGCTTCAAAGCTAACCGATCCACCAACGATCTATCATACCCAGCTTGTTGAGCAGCAGCAATGTCAGCATCATTTTCAGTCTTGATCAGTTCTTCATTGTCTTCCAGGGCTTCAGCTATGTCAAGCAGAATCATTTTTCGTTCATTTGTAGACAGTGCCTGTTAATTGAAATATTAATTTCACTTGAAAATAAATTACTTCCCAAAGTTGGGACAAATCCTAACCAATGTCCTGAAATTAACAACAATTGATGAGACAAAATACCTGAAGCCTCCTTGAACACTCTCTAGCAGAAACTGCCATCTCGCGTGCACCAGTTTCCTTAGCTGAAGCCCATAAATGAGCATCCTTGTGAAATAGAGTGCCAACACATTGGCCTTTGATTACTTTGAGAATGTTGTCTGTTGCCTTGCCACTTTCAAAGAAATTACAGAAAACAATCAGGTCAAGGGAACTTAATAAGAAATCAAGAATATCTTTCATTTTTGGTGTGGAATCCTTAATGACATACAAACTATGTTCTTATGAGATAGTATATAACAGACACTCTGTAATTAATCAATATTTTACACATGTAAATTCATCCCTTCCCATTATCTGACTACATGGGAAAACAATTTCTTACAGACGTCACCATTATAAAACATTATTATTTTTCATCTCCAACGAAGACCATAGTATTATAAAACATAAAACTGTACAGAAGTGGACTAATTTAATTGTTTCAGTGACTGCTTTTTTTCGTTCTTTCTAAAAAAAAATAATCATATAGCAGGTTTAGGCATTGTATTTCTGAGTAGGTCTTCAATGCCCTTAGCCATCATAAACAGAACTATAAAAGCTTGGTGAGGAGCACTTATGTTGCACTATTGCAAGTGAATGCAATTCACCACAGAAAGGTTATATGTACGGAACATGAGCACAATTCAGATTCCAAAGTACTGTACCATGAATCAACAATCAGAACATCAACTATACCATGGAATATACAGAAACAAGCTTTTCTCTGAAAAAAGCACCTAAACTAGTAAATGAATCAACAATGACACATTTGGACAAATAGTAATAAAATAAAATGAAATAAAAAACCCAGAGATCAGGGGCCATCAGACATCCAAAGGAAAATCACATAGAGCCATACCTAGCTATAATTACGGGAATTCCGGCAACGGCGGCATGAACAGCAGCTTTTACTTTGGCTGTCATACCCCCTCTACCCAATCTAGACTTATCTCCAAAAGTGATTTCAGTCTGATGCTTCTCTTTAATATAAGTGTGGATAAGCTTCGATTGTGGATCACTTGGTGGACCACTATAAAGACCATCCACATCACTCAACAAAATGAGGAGATCTGCCTTTAGTTCCAAAGCAAGCAAAGCTGCTAAACTATCATTGTCCCAGAATATACCAGATGAATCCTGCTCAAAGTGCTTACAATTAGAATAATGAAAGGCTGCAGAACAAACCATTAGTTTGAATTAAATAAATAAATATTCCTTCTAGTAAGTTCTGGATACTGCTCAAACTACACTACATACTCAGGTTAAGGAAATTAAAAGTGTAGGAAAAAATTGACTATCAGGTCTGCGGTATGTCTTAGGAGTTTCAGCAATGACCCAGAGATATGGCAAAACAAATTTCTCAAAGTAAATCCCAGTTAGCTTTAAAGTGAGTATTCAAAATGATATTACTTGTTTTGAGCTATCCTGGTCACGCGATACTTTTACCTTGTTTATTATACAACCCTGGTTAAAAGAAGAGAAAAAAAAAACCATCAATGAAAATTAAGTAATTAAACAGTACATACCTCATAAGGAGCTTTCCTGGTACTTACTGCATCATTTTCATTCAATACGGGTATAACTTTTGAATCCAACAACTGATTTACAGTTTCTGAAAGTTGTGATCTAAAATTTGGATCCCTAAAGTCATTATCCGTAACAAGTAGTTGGGCAGAAGTCAGATCCAACTGCAAAAGACATTCTCTCTACAATCAGCATATGATAACAAACACCAACTAAAGAAAAGCAGCTAATTCCACAAACATGGCAGATATTTAGTTACACAAATTTTGACCTGGCTAAATAATGCGTCATAGAGAGCCATGAGACCATTCTGCCCAACAGCAGCACATGCTTTCCCGTCAAGTTCAGCTTGTGGTTTTTGGAGATCAGCAAAACTGCAATATTGACAAATACCTTCAGATTACCAAGTGATGATCCATCTTCCGTGGATTATTATTAACAAAAAGAATAAAAAAAAACAAAAGGTTTATAAACAGATTTTCAATTTGTACAATATCAAGCATAGGAAATAATGCAAGAGTATTCACGCCCACAAAAATAGCTTGACACAGTACTCTACTAAATATTTATTATTACTTCTATAACATAACAATACAAACACTTCATGTAAAACATTTGGATACACAACTTCTAGGCAATGACAAGCTTTACAGAGAAAGAAAATCACAAACCTGCTGTTTACCAATTTTCTGAACCGAAGTCTCTGACGACCAGCACTGACAGCACCTGAACTCACCAAAATGACTTCATATCCATCAAGGTTTAACTCCTTGATCTGCATCAAAAAAATGTGGATCAAGTTTGAGTAAGCTCCATCAGATACAAGAAAGGTGAAAGAACTTAGGGATACTCAACCAGGGTAAAATTCGAAAAGGGATAGCAGTTCCTTCACCTGCTCACAAAGTGCACCTAGTCTTCCAAGTGCCATTCTCCCATCATCACTTCTAGTAACAACAGCAGTTCCAACCTGTTGGTATCAAGAGACAAGACCAAAAAACTCTGAGCCTGTTGAAATATTTGATTCAGAAGGAAGGGGGTAGAAGCTTGGAACATATCACTTGACAGACAAATTTAAAGTAGAATTTAAGCAAGAATTTCTCTTCCCCTACTTTGTGGATAAAATTCAAATCCTTATACAATAAATATAGCAGAAAGAGATCATCAATACTTAAAAATCCAATAACCATCATCTACTGATCCACTGAAGCGTGCAATAGATCGAGTTACAGAATATTTCATGATTCATTAGTTGTTAAACTAAACTCAAATTCTAGCTCCATGATCATCATATTGCTTTCTTACAATAGTTCAGGTTAGCTTCCACCTCTCATCCTTCAATTTCCCCATCGTTTTTTGAACAACACCATTAACTAGTAGTATTTAAATTAGTATAGGCCACAATTCGTGTCAATTAAGTTACATAATATTATTTTCTTATGATCCATACGTAGTACCATACTAAAAGGTAATTTATCCTCAACAAATGTATAATATACAGAGAATTATTAAGTATGATTATGATATTCAATAATTGGCTTTAAAATGATCTGAAACAAGGTGTGGCATATTATAATGGAACGGGAGGATTAATTCCGGTAATTTTAATTTCCTTAACCTTTGTCTTCTTCTTTTACCATTGCCTAACCATGAAAAAAAATCAGGAAAAAGTGGGGCCCAACAGTGACCCTACACAAGGATTCCGAGACTCGTAAACGAGTGATCACAGAAAGTTGCTACCTTTATTTCCACCACATATCAGTTAAATAAATGCTCTTTTCAAAGTTATGATTTTTTTTTTTTTTAAAAAAATTAATTAAAAAAAAAGCTAGTTCATCAACCACACATCACATCGTAACACACAATTACTCCTTTGACAAGTCAAATCACTGAAATTAAGAATATCCAAAACATAATCTCATTTATTTGTATGCAGCATTTTTTTTAGTGTCAATAACTCAATTTCGATAATTTTTATACCATCTTAGTTGCTAAATCTTTGTATACTCCTTATTTAGGATGTATGTAACGAGAAAATCAACTCAGGTACGACTTAAAACTCCATTTATAGATTTTTTAAGAAAAATCTATATTAAATATAAAATTTTAACATTTTTCGAAATATACGTAATTGTAAAATGAACCAAAAACAGCTTTCCGCCGCCAATAAAAATGCCAGTAAATAATGAACAATCAAAATATTAAGATTAAAGTGTATATAGACATAAAAATAAATTATAAATTAAATGAAAATGAGCATATTTCGAAATATAAAATTCATATTTAGTCAATGACAATGCCAAATTGGCAATAAACCCTTTTGCAATCAAAATATAGAAATTGAAAATTCGTAAAAAATCACACTGAATCAGCACACTATGAAAACATCGACAAATTGAATAATAAAAAAAAGAATCAAAACCGTCGTTAAAAACAAGAATTAGCATGAAATTGAATGAATTGAATTAAAAAAAAAAAAAAATGCAAAGAAATAGACCTTAACGACGACACGCTTAACATCCCTGACGAAGACTCTGGAAGCGTCCATTAGCAGAGGTAGAAGATGAAATCGGAGTGAGAAGAGTCCCGAATCGTGACGAGGCGACTGGGTAAAACAAAGCAGCTGATATGGTGGAGAGAGATAGGGGCAGAAAGGAGATGTGTGTGATAGAAATGGTTATGTTGTAGCCCACTTTATATATAAACCTCTAGTATAAATCTCCAAAAACCTCAGGTTTTTTTTTATTATTATTTTAAGGGTTTTCTTTTTACACAATTTTTTTTTATATAAGTAAAAGTGTAAATTATAAAATTACCTTAAATAAGTATTGTTGATTTATTTTTTTTGAGGAAAAGATAATTATAATGCCTTTGAATTCTTTTTTACACCTAATTTTACATAAAAGTAAGTATTGTTGATTTTCTCTCTAGGTGGTAAACTATAATTGGTGATTGTTGAAATGGTAAAAACTGGTGAGGTGGGCTAATCATAGAGGAGAGTGTAGGGTAAGACTAATGAGGGAGCTCATATGTGAGTAAAGTTAAGAGAGAAAATGACAAAGTCTAAGTCTAATGGTAGGATCCGTGTGATACGGGTATATCTTTCCCGGGCACATGGAATTTCCAAATGTGGGTCCCTTTTCTGGGTTTACAGGTTTAGGTACTTTTTGGATTGGTTTTTATTTTGGTTAATCGTCATTTTCTCGTAACTAGGAACACCTTCATCACTTTATGTGGGAGTTATAACCTAACTTGTTACTTGTGCACTTCGATGAGGATTATGCAAGTTACTCCGTGAGATAATTGTCACATTTTTACTTTGGTGTACTCTGATTTATAATAGTATGTCGTTCTAATCTTCTTTTAAAAAATAAAAATTTGTAAACGTAAAAATATTTCCTTTAGAGTAATTATTCACGTGTAATGCAATTATGCGAGTATTATTTTATAAGAAGTTTACAAACTTAGCTTGTTTGGATAATTAAAGGAATTTAATTTAATACAAATCATCTTACCCTAGGTAACTACACCAAAAAAAATAAAAAATCTTACCCTAGGTAAGCAATATCTATCGTTTTGATAGCATCGAAAAAAAAATATCTATCATTTTGAGAAAGTATAACTTAATTGAATTAACAACTACTCACTTGCTATAAACATAAACTCACCAATTCATTGTGTAATTTGATGTCGACCATTTTTCTAAACTAAGTTTGGAAAATAGAGGCATATAAGGAAATAATGCAATCCATTACTTTTGTCTATATAAAAATTGACAATTTAAAAAGTGGTTGATTTAAGTTATCTTATTTCTTAATAAAAAGTCAACTTTACTCCAAAAAAAAAAAAAAACAACTCTACATTTTTGTAGAAGTTACATCAATAAGACTCTAGTAAAGCTCAATTGAAAGTTGAAACCTCCAACATATAATTGATAGATCTAATTAGGGTATATTCTGTTCATTTTATATTCACTTATTTCAGGCCTAATAAGTTCAGTTAAGTTCAGATAAGTTCAGTTTAGAAAAAATAAGTTCTGATAAGGGTTACCCTAATTCAAATTACAATTAAAATAAATTTTGATAAGTTCAGATAAGTAAAAATCAAGTGAATAAAATACACCCTTACTCTAATACACTATCACTATACAAATACAGTCACTCCAAATAAAATAAAAACAAAGACAAAGCTACATTAATTTAAATGGGTTTACTTGACAAATTAAATTAAATTTGGTAGAATCACGATAGGTGTACGCCATATCAAGTATATTATGTCTAGAATTTTAATCCCTCTCCTCTTAAATATTGGTCTATTGTCCTTTATTCTTTATTTAATTTGAACCGTGTTTCAAAAAAAAATAAAAAATGAACCATGTTTTTAAAAGGTTCTCTATTTCTATTTTAATTGCATATAATATTCCCATAATTCCTCTCTACCTCTTTTTACCACTTTTATATATGGATATATGAATTTACTCCGTATATACTTACTGAATTCAACTCTCAATAAAGTAAGAAACAAGATAGAATAATCTTTAAGAAACAGATGAAGTAGAAGGAAAAAATTACTCCGATAAAAATACTTTAATATACTTTCACAGGTGTAGTCCTAGTATTAAATTTTACACCCCCGTGAGCCGTGACAAGGAAAATAACAGATAATAATCCATAAAAAGAATACGCGGCTTGGAATTGATTATTGTTAGGGTCAGGTCCTAGCATATTTTAAGAATCCAAGTGTATATTCTTCCATAAAAATCTAAACCGTGCAAGAGTCCTTGTGTATTTGACAACTAACCATGACCATGCAAGTGTTCTATATTACTTGGCTCACGGTTTATGTAGAACATGGTGGGGGATGCGCCTATAGGACAACATAGAGATTATAAGCCATGGTTGGGCTTTTTGCGTCATGATACGATTTTTGTTTTCTTTTACTTGCAACATAATATTATGTTACGGACTTTTAGAAAAAAAAATTAGATAGTTTAAAGATGGTAAATAGATAAATTAATTTAAATAAATACAAAATCGTACAAAAACCCTTTAAATTCCCGATGTTTAAAATCACTTCGTTAAAAATATGAGCATTGGAGTTGTATTGCAAGTAAAAGAAAAACAAGCATTGGAGTTGTATTGCAAGTAAAAGAAAAACAGAGGAAATATGTTATTACTGCGTACAACTATGATGGGCTGACTGACTGCCTACTATAGTACTGTGTATTGACAACAAGTAGGTTGTCAATTTCCAAAATAATCTTTAGATTTCTTTCTATGTTCTTGGCTCTTAGCTATACGCCCATACTCGTGGTTCTCTAATGATATGATCCATGGACCATGCATATGATTAAATTGAATTATGGTGGGGTTTCTAATCTTTAGTTATAGCGTGTATTGTGGTGGAACCAGAATCTTTTAAAAATGTGATGTGGATTTTATAGATTATTACAGGAATTACGTTACTCCATACACATACTGTAAGAAACTTCATGAAATTTGGCAAAAAGAAAAGGCTCTTAAATTTTTAGCTTATATGTCACGACTTACAAAGATGGTCAAAAAATTCAAAATAAATGAACATTATAAAATAGTGTTAAAAATTAAAGTGCAATACACTTAAACAAAAAGTAAGGAAGAAACATTGATTCGAACCCTTTTTTTTTTTTAAATAGTAAAGGTACACTTTGGCTAATGGTCTCTCTATCTAAGGAAATGAAATACAAAATTATGTATATTGACTAGCTATCATTGGAATAGTCATAAAAATAAAAATAAAATGATCATTCTAATAAGATTATTTAATTTACTCCAGTAGACAATCAACAATTAATTTAATTTCACCAAATATTTTCATAAACAATTAATGAGCTAGAGATCAATGGACTACAAAAACCAATACAAATATCTTCCATAATATATCTCAGGAAATAAAATAAAAAATTATATATATTGACTAGCTATCATTGGATTAATCATAAAAAAAATTGATCATTCTAATAAGATTATTTAATTTACTCTAATAGACAATCAACAGTTAATTTAATTTCACCAAATATTTTCATAAACAATTAATGAGAGATCAATGGACTACAACAACCAATACAAATATCTCCCATTATATATTTACATGCAATCAACTAGTCAAGTAAGCCAATAAGCCTACTTAATCACAAACTATGGCAAAACGAAATCTCATTTTACATGTGAAGTTATAACTTAGTAAGCAAGCCTTTTCAATTACAGTCAAAACAACGAATTAGTTGTATGAAATGAGACAAAATAATTTGGGTCTAGATACAAAATTGAATTAGCTTATCGAAAGACACATGTCTTTAACGTTATGTGTACATACGAAGTTTATCTGTCGACCATGCATACACGAAGTACTACCTAATAATTTGAAGGGTCTTTACCGTTTAGAAATCTAAAAGGGTGGCTTAAGTCATTAGAAAAAACAAATTAATCATTAGTGATAATCAACTAAACATTTCTAGGTAAGGTAAAAGTAGCATACACTTAAAAAGTCACATCATATCTCGGTACTCTCTTGTTTCATAATTCCATTAAGACTACTCATCTGCTCCAAATGAATTTTACCCATTTTCAGAGTTGGAGCAAGGAAAAAGTACGTGGAGTTGCGAATTTTACTCTGTTTCCTAGTTTTTATCTAGTGAGATGATCTTTCTATATTGCAATAAACGAGTCCGATTCTTTGTACATTTATGAATTTCTCTCTTTTCCAAAAATAATATAGGGCAAATTAAATGGACCGAAGGTCAAAGGGAAGGATTTAGAATAACGTAGAACTTAAAGATAGCTCTGGCCGTGCCTCATGCCAGGCCCACGTGGTTTGGGGTTAGTTAGACCTGGCCCATGAGCTTCGTGTTGTGCCTTGTCGGGCCAAAGTTTTCAAAAGGTTGGCCCGTGCACGGCCCAGACCCACGTGCCATCATGCCGAGTTTGCGTGCCTAAGCAAAATTACATTGATTTTAGCATGTTTTGTCGTGCCGGACCCGATCGTGTTGTGCCTTATCGTGCTTCTCCCTAATAAAGGCGGAACAGGCCTGACCCAAGGCCCACACGCACAGTACCGTGTCGTGCTTTTTTCGTGCTGGGTCGTGTCGGGCTTCGGGCCGGTTCGGCTCAGTGCCATCTTTAGTAGAACTTCTAGATTGATTAGCAAAGTATATGAGCCAAGTAATCACCCACATGTTGGATGATATGTGGTGTTAAGGCAAGTGAAACATAACACAACTCTAGTTCATTTTTTAAGTATGTAAATAAGCTTAATCATGATGTTACTCCCTCCATGTTTTAATAAGTGTTAGACTTTGACCAATACATAGTTTTAGGCAATATAATTGACTTAAATAAAATAAGAGGTAAGTGAGTAGTTGGAGTTTTAAAAAATTGTAAAAGAAAGATAGTGGGGTTAATAGTTCATTGAAAAATAATGAATATGAGAAGAAGAAAATAATAAAAAAAAAAGTAATAGTGGGTTTAGGTGGAGACCATAAAAAGAGAGAGATATTACGGAGTATATTTTTATGTAGCTTTTTGCCAAAAAAAAAATGTAATACTTATTAAAACACAACCGCATTTAAAACACGATCGCATTTAGTAAGTGTAACACTTATTAAAACATTAGCCGTTAAACAATTGTTTGTTATTGATTTTTGTGTATTGGTTGATTAGCAATTAGAATCTTGCAACAAAAAGTAGTCGTATCTGAATAAATCTTCTTGGGTTTCGCGTCTCAAGTACTACTTTCTCTCCTGAAGTCAGACTTTAATTATTGATGAACATTGCTTGAAATTATAATTAGACTTAGGAGTATAATTTATTCTAATCTGACGGCTAATGGACAAGAGCTAACTAAATCAATTAATTTCTCAAAAGTAGTTTAATAGCAATAGTACTAATGGTTGTCCGTTATACCGGCGATTTACTATTTATTTTCTTTCATGATTGGCAGGTTATGATTATGGAGATATTTTATGTTGTAGTAGAATTAGCTGGTTTAGGCTAGGTTGCTTGCAAACAGGAATTGATACGGGTACGAATACGATATGAACATGTGTTTTGTTTTGTATTGACATTCTATCGAGAAAAAAATACGAAGTAATCAAAGAAGATTTCATTGTACATTCAATGATTTGTACAAGTATATTGATTTTATTAGCTGATATTCAACTTTGATATTGGTGGGTACTGGGTAGTTAACCATCTTTTATGTCTAAATGTCCATCTATTAGCAATTAATAATTCTTACAATGAAGTATAGTAAATGTATTATAGGTTTTTTTTTTTTTTTTTTGGGTGAGTCATAGAGCGTATGGTTATGTTTGAAAGTATATAAGTTGTTATTTGCAATACGTAAATACAGATAAATTTTATGAATTCCATTCAAATGTTTACACCTATCGAGTAATGTCTGTTAGTTGTGATTTGTTTGTAGGTGACATGTCAGATACAAATATGCTGGTTCAATTTATGTTAGGAATGAGATCAATGAAACATAGTTGACCAGACATGAGGCAACTTCAATTAGGTATTCAAACGAAAGAAAGGTATTTTAACTTTTTATGTACTAATGTGCATCCTTCCTCCAAAAATTTGCGTGTGATTTTGGGCGATTTCTCCAATTTTTATACTGCATGCTGGTGTAACCTTCTGGACTAAGATTTAATCACTAGTAATTAAAAAGGAAAAATAATAACAATCAAAAAGAAGACAAAGCAATTTGGTAATTTCGCACTTAATTAATTTGCTATGGTGTTAAAATCATTTCAAGTACAAAATATGTATACTCCCTTCGTTCCTTAAAATTGCCCCAATCCATTATCACCGGGTAGTAAATAAGGTAGTGGAAAAACGTAAGCACCATGTTAAATAAAATGAAAATGGGACAATCTGTTAGATACGGTTCAAAAAGGGAAGGAAATTAAATTTATTATTACGTTGCAAGGACTATAATAGTTGGTTAAAATTCCTCAAGCTGCTAGTTTCTTAATAATGCAAGACAACCATCTTAATTCAGTGACAAAAATCCCAAAAAGGAGGAAACAAGACTAAAAGAAGCAGCAAAACAATTGTGTACAAAGAATCTAGTCATTTGTAAATGCAATATACTGACTTCATTCAGTTGCTCAATGAAGTGAAATCTATTTACATAAAATTTGTAGAAACCACGAGAAAATAGTAAAATAAAACACTCCAAATGAAGAAAACTGCAGCAAGAAGAAACAATTCCTAATCTGCTACCACTTACATACACTATTGTAAGTTCCCGATCCTATATTGACGCCTTTTTGGAAACATAAACAATTATCAACAGCAAAAACAACATTAACAACAGTAGCAAAATTGTTGATTTTTTTTTTTTTTTTTTTGGAAACGATGAAAAATAGAACATCTGTCATGACGTGGTCAGAATTGGTTTTTTCACAAGCAAATTCCCTCTCCAAAAAGTCAATCTTGGAAAGATGAGTCGTCGAATTACCAAGAGGAATTTCTATGTGAAAAACCAGACCTTGATGAAGAGTCCCAAAGCAAATTGCAACATGAATGCAGCCACCAAAACCACCATGAGATCATTCCCCTCAACATAAGTCCTGAGGTTTGACGCAACAAAGCAAGCTGAAACACCACTCGCTAGAAGTATGATCACCCATCTCAGAAACTCCAGAGGAATTACCAACAAGAACTGTAAATCTCAACACGTTAAAATATCAGGAAGTAAATTCTCAAATACGTGGAAATAAAGTGAGTCGAACCAAACAATTTGACTCACAGTTTGATCTGAAAATAAAACCAATTCTATGGTAAAAGCAAAGGATATCACTGTTAGTGCTAGAGTTTCATAGATGGGGCTACATGTCATGCATCAAACTTCCATGTCTTTGTTACAAAAGAAAACAAATGTTTTACATGGCCTGCATTTTGGAGGAAGGACAACTAAAAGGCCATAATTTTCCTAGGTCTCGATTACATTATAGGGAATCAATATGCTTACTAATCAAGTCATACTTAGTATACAGCAGCCTTTGAGCCAATTGGGTATAAAGTGTCCAAAAGCGGTATCCTAGCTTCTTGCCAAATGAAGACCCTATTGATAGTACAATAATATTCTGGAAGTTCAAATACAATGAAAATGAAGGCAGCGAATCCAAAAGGCAGCAGACACTTGGCACTGTAAAATGACTAGCTCACCACTAATATAGATTGATTTCTAGGAAAACACTCCCTATGTCCCACAATGAAGGTCTAATAAACTTTTCTCAAATGTTCAGGAATAATAAGTGATAATAAACCAATAATGTCCAGGTGTAGTGGAAATAGAAAATGAGGACTTGGTGAACTTGCATTAAATGACTAAAGAAAGCCACCAAATGGGACAAAAAGAACTAGAAAGGACAATAGTTGTTGGGAGTCTTGGGACAGAAGGAATATTGGCTAACAGAGGCACAGCAATGCAAACAAAAGGACAACAATGACTTCACAAGGTAGTCTAAGCAGACTAGAATTCTTATTGACAGAAATTTTGCATTGCAGAAGAAGAGTGCCATTCTGCACCTCCATGTTTTGTTTGTTGAAAGGAGAACAGAAAAATAAAATCTAAACAAAGAAAATCAGGCAATATGTACAGAGTACTCATGCAAACCTAGGACATGAACATTTATATAGCAATTGTATAAACATGATCATGGAAACTTACACAGCTTAGAACAAAGATGAAGAGTGAATAACCCCACATGCACCAGAAGCGTACAACACTGGCAGGCGAACCCAGATACTGAAGCAAGAAATAAAATCCCAAGGGCACTACAATTGCATAGCCATACACTGCACTGGCAGCCAAACTCATAAAGCTGACATCAAAATTCCAGGACGAACTCCCTATTAAGTAGGTGGCTAAATTTCCAAGAGACGCAATCACAAAGACCAAAGTTGTGGATATCCAAATAAGCCCGTAGCTGTAAATAAAGCAAAACATAAGCATTAGCAACCCCAAGTCAGAAAACACAAGATGGAATTTACAAATTTCTCCCACACAGATGGTTGTCAAAATAGAGGTTGAAAAAGATTAGGCATGAACTTCTCAGCCTAATGAGAGCCAAAAAAAATATGATACATAATTTTTGTGTTGCGCAATCATCAACTATAAGGTTTCAGTAAAAAAAAAAAAAAAAAAAACCAAGAAACATGCACAAATAGCTAATAAATTAGGACTTAGAAAAGTGGACAAGTGAAAGTAGCTGCTCTTTCACCTGCTTCCAGGCATTCTGCCTGCTTTCAACCTGCTTCAGCCAAGGAAGGAACTCACCCACCTATTTATTACATTGAAGGACCTATGCGGATCCCTAATTTTACATTTCATAAACTTTGAAATCAGGTATAGAATTTAAGGTTGATGGTCATTTTGGTTTGTGATCCTAACATCATACAGGTGCTTCAATACATTTGCTCTAGACATCTTTTGTGACTAGAAGACACCTACTTGAAGAATAAACATTGTTTATGAATTTGTCGTCTTCTATCAAAAGTTGGGGCTGCAATTTCACTAGATAAAATCAAGAGGCCATAAGGAACTAAGGGCCAAATCTCTGTGACTGCATGACTTTGACGTCTACCTTATAAAAAAAGTTGGGGCTTGGAAGTTAATAGGCCTTTCCCAGTTCAAGAATAAATTCCGATTAAATCTCTAGTGCAAAGTTGCTTATATCTGGTGCAATACTCATGTTTTGTGAAAGGGTGCTCTACCTCACTATTTTGTTAGTCTGGTTTATCAATTATACTCAGAAGAGTTACCAAGATCGTAATGGAGGAGACATGTGTTGAGCTTTTAGAATCAGATCCCATGGCTTGTTAGGAAATTAAGTTTGCCTCATAACTGAGATTTTATGATTTGGCTTTTTTGATCAGAATCTGCTGTAAAGAATGGGCTGAAAGGAGCTATGTTACAGGTCTATTTACAAATAACAACCTTACAATATTCTGAACTTCTGATGCACAATTCAAGTGTGCCATAGAATAATGATAAATCACACTACCTAAGGTGACATGAAGAAGTACACGGCAATTAAAGGCCATATTTTGAGTATGTTTGAAGATTTTCCATGGCCTGCATTTTGGAACCATCATTTATCACCTTATGCACGTGACCATTCTTAGCTGTATAGTGCATACCACAACAGAGACTACATTGTAATGAAATCTTCCTCTCATATAAGCTTCAAAAGAGAGCCCTTTAATCTCTAAAACAAATGTTTTCCTTTTGCAGTGAATATTATGTCTTCCACCCTCATCAACCATGATAATATTATGTCTATCAAATTCAATACTAGTCCAGATGAAAATTATCAAAACATATCCTGTCAGATGTCAACAAGAATTAGCCTTGAATAGAAAGATTTTTACCCAAAATCCCATTAACTATAGCTAACACTGGAGCTGGCCTGCAAGTAGATCCTTGACCGACCTGACCCTAGCCCTAGATAACCCAATAGTCAACAACCTGATCATCAGTCAGATAGTTCTAGTCCAAATCACTCATTTCATGTAAACATATGTAGCACTAGCTGAACTGCACCTACAGCCCTACCAAAACACAAAGCACAAAAGGTCTTTCAAATTCACCATCCAAGGGCTAAGCAGATTAGATTCCCAACTTTACTCCATTGTCAGTATCCTCAAAGAACTCCACCCCAACAAAAACAAAACACCCCACTCAGGTTCCTCGATGCACCAAACTGACCTAAGATTGTTACCATTATCTACATTTGCTGCCACTATCATAGGATAAAAATGTCAGTGGATCTTTTCAATCCCACAAACATACAAATCGAGGACCATCACCCTGCTATAGACTCCACATCTCTCAAAGAAAATCAAGTTGTATACAATTCAAATGTGCTTCAATTCTTCATAGTCTAAGGCTCTCAGCAATAATGTCCCATCTTCAAGTTATAAAAATCTGATTAGATATAACATGAGCACATTTCCGGAGGACAAGATTCAATTACTAGATTTCACCAAAGGTCATGCCACAGACCCAAATCCCAATCTAGGAGCAACCATGGAATAGGCACTGGAGTATATAAAAATCAGGAAGCTGCATAATATAATTTGGTCCCTCAATATGACTGCACTTATATGCCACAGACCCAAATCCCAATCTAGGAGCAACCATGGGATGGACAAGTCGCCCATAGTCACATGGCAAGCTCCGGATGCAAGTATAACAAAACTTTATCCTGATTTAACTCACAACACCCTCAGTAAAACTCAACCAAAGCTGATAAGTAGGTTGCTTGGAGAAGCTCAGTCTTCATCAAACTAGATGTCAACAGGACAATTACTTATCAATTATGTTTGTTTAGTGCACCAGACCACGCCAACCACATGCATAGGTGGTAACACTTGATACAGATCATATCAAATTGCCCGTCTTCTTACTTAGACTCTATCAAAAAGTCATTTGGTTTACAACACATGGAGCTAATGTCAAAGCAACCAGCAGATGTATCTAACTTCATCCATCATGGTAATTGCCTACTCTTTGCAAGGACCATCTAATTCATCAATGGTCCACAGTATCAAATTCATGCACCATACAGAAAAGTTACTTAAACCATGCTTATACGATCCAAAGAACAACAGATCTTCCAAATGAACCTGGTCTTCTAAAAAATTACGAGTATATTTCATGGCAATACAATGCCCAAATTTTTTTGTTTTCAAACAAGATAAAGATGGCAAGTAAAAAATAGGCAGATCAAATATGGGAAAAACACACAAGAATCAAAGCAGCTCAGTCTGTTTGCTGGGGGTGAAGATCAGAATCAAATAGAAGGTGATACTCACAGATCAGGGTTTGCATCAATCTTGCTGAAGAAATCACCACTTCTAGGATCTAATGAACTCAGCAATCTATTGATTACGATGTCTGTGTCCACATTGAAGTACTGTGTGTATGAGTAGACGTTAAACACTCCCTGCCAGTTGTTTGTTGGTGGTGGCCCACCTCCTTCTGCAAAACATGCAAGAGAGGTCAATGCATGTCAGGAGAATAAAATTGCAACTTTTTCAATATTCAAATACATCAAAGCTGGATAGACTTTGCAGCTAGATAGCTATTTATACAGCTCACTAAATAAGAAATTGTATTTAGGTGGCTGTTGAGAATATTGACAAATTTATACGATACAATCAGCCTGTTGGTAAGTGGTAATAAATGGTAATAATGAGAATTGATTTATACTTAACTATGTAAAAAAAAAAAAAAAAACTCAAGTAATTCCCATGGAAATCCTAATTCACCACAAATTATATCTTTTTCTTCATAACTTGGGGAGTGGCATTGAGTGATAATGGGTCTTTATGAAGAAGTTTGGAATGTTCTCAAAGGTTTTTGATCGCGAGGGATGGAGGAGGAAGATTTTTATGGATGACTATACGGAATAATCACTTTTGGTTTATGTAGTCAACCCCACTTATGGGATTAAGGCTTTGATTCATTGATTGAATATGTGAGCACGTATAAGAGTAAAATGTCAAGCTTCTATGTTATAATAAACTTCCACAACTTCGAATCAATCAAATCCCAATCCATAGTCATCACTAATGAGATTGTCCAAGGAAGAAATTAAATCTTGCAAAGTGGTATACTTTAACATGAGGGCAACACATTGTATCAACATTTATTCCACCTTACAAGCAAGTAAGTGAAGCGTGATTCTTAGTTATTACAACTACCGAATCTGCAATTTTAAATGGTAATTCCTCAAGGTCATAACAGGTATTTTAACAAGTCAAGTTTTCTTTATCACTTTAGGAGCCATCATCCCTTACTAGTCCAAGATGAAAGTTCTCAAAGGTTATCCCTTCCCTAATTGGTTATAATTGCCCATGATAAGGGTGACATACTCTTCAATCATTGAAATTGACACAAATCACTGATATCAGTAGCTCAAAAAAAATATATATTAATAAAATATAAAATAAAATAAAAAAGCTATATCCTTCTCATTTCCTCACCAACAGCTCTAAATAAATGCCTCCAATGAACCAACAAAAAAATTGAGGTTTTAAGAATGGCGATTTCCAACAGAAGTAAAGTGGTCGTCTATGCAGACCAATTGAAACAGCAAGAGTCTGGTATCACCATCCTTGGTAATATCAGTTACGAGGTCGAACCAATTTGCTAGTTGGCTTATTCATACTCCATCCATTCCAATATAGATTCCCAAAATTGAATCCTACTAACACAATTCTTAAAGCTCTTATAGTCTATCTTTCCTACAATTTCACAAATCCTTAATTTTTACTTCCCCTTTTCTTTTTACTTGCACATGGGCACGTAATTAAAGGAGGAAGTTTGAGATGGAAATGGACATGTTACTTGTAAAAAAACTACCACCAGTAAGAGAAATGGTTTAGGTTATTATGGTTTCAATTATTTTAATTAATTTGTCCATTTATCTTATCTAATCCTTCCTCCAAGTGCATGCCCGTGAAGTGAGTTGCAAATAAAATGAAACAGAGGAAGTATGTAAAATTGCTTTGATTAGAAAGTAGTTAGCAATGCCCTTCAGCGAACTTATGGTTCTGAGTTTGAAAAGCAGTGCCTTCATCCATTATACAATTTATACAGAAGTTCATATAAGGCAAGTCTTAAAAACGGTACTGCCTAATCTCAAAATTCACGTAGTGTCACGAAAGATTGATTAATCTTAACATATACTTATCATAGATAGCAGTATTACTAAACACTCAAAACCAAAATATATTCCTTTAATAACTCGAACCAAAGAATCTGATCACAATCATTAATCCCATTCTATCACCCCCAACAAACATGTCTGAAGCACTTAATGTCAAACACGATATCTAACGAAAGTAGAAAGATGATTGAATATGGCATACCACTAGAACTTGGTACATTCTGATATCCAGGTCCTTTGTCTCCACCTTGATGAGGAGGGAATAACTGCAAATTCGCTTGGGGCGCTACACGAGTTAAATCAAATTGGAAAATTGTTAATATAACCCTAAAAAAAAATGAAGTAAAAAACTCAACAAGATCAGTTCCTAGATTGCCATACCCGAGTTCGCATTACCCTTACCTTCTTCAGCTACAACAGCCTGCCATTAAATAATTAGTCCAGTTAATCACATAGTGAATACCTAATTTATGAAACATTTAACAATTATAAGATCATATTATACTGCATAAAACCACATCAAAAACCCCAAATCAATCTCAGTACATAAATTTCATCAATTACGCCCTAAAGATAGTCAATATCTCAAATAATCATCAAAAACTCCCAAATTTTCAGCAAATTAAAATATAATCTTGCAAAAAATTGTAATTGTTCGATAATACTCAATCAAATGAAGAAAAATCAGCAAAATTGATCAATCACTCAACGCATATGGAAAGGGACATGGAATTTCAGTCTTTTGTTCGATTTACATGTAAAATCTCGAAGAAATGAGCTACATTGTACAAAAAAAATTAAAGAATGAATTGAATCGAACAACAAAATTAACATAAAAAATGAAATTAGGGCAAATAAAAAAGATGAAATAAATTGAGCGAAGAATTAACGTACTGGAACTGAGCCAAGTAATTGGCTTGTTGGAAGATTATTGTACTGTTCATCCATTGTCAAACTTCAGATACAGAGAGAATTTTGGGAAGAAAACAACAACAAAAATGGTGAAATTTTTTTGATCGAGATTCGAGCTTTTGAACAATTATATTTATGGCTGATAAAGTCCCTTTTCTTGCGTTTCTTGTTGTTAATGTCGAAGAAGGGAATGTACAAATTGACAAATTAGATTCTTTTTTTTAAGTAAAAGCAGTTTTTTTTTTTCATCTAACAACAATAAAATCCAGAGATCATTAAAGTAGTAGTTTTTATTAGTTTTCCATTATCATTAATCATGCATGTGGTTGTGTAAAACTCCCTCAATACTTAAAAGGAATTGTCTGGTTTTTTGTTTTTTGGTTTTTTTGTAATATAGGGGTGTTCGCGGTGCGGTTTGGATCGCAAAATTGGAATTTATATTTTTTTTCAAACTGCACTCCTAAAAAACCCACACCAAACCGCACCGCAAAATACGATTTGGTGCGGTGTGGTTTGCGCTTAACCATACTTTTTTAAAATTATAATTATTCTTTTTAAAACAAAACTTTTATTTTATTTTGTAATTATTAATTTATAATTCAAAGGATATTTTGGATTTTAACACCTTACAAAAGGCTGAAAATGTTTTTTAACACCCCCCAAAAAAAAACTTTTATTTTAACACCTCCCAAAAATATAAAAGTTGGAAGTTAACACCAAAATCCATCTTCCGTTAACAGAACTGTTAGTGGGGCCCACCCCAACGGATATATTTTTAAAAGATCTGTATATAAGAACCATTCTTCCACGATTCTTGCACGATATATAAGAACCATTCTTGCACGATTCTCCCCCAATGAACGAAATCGTTGTTCTTATTGAATAGCAGCAGCGCATTGCATTGTTGCACGATACTTGAAACAATTCTTTCACGATTCTTCCACGATTTTTGAGAAGAGGAACAGATTGAAGCTGCTGAAACAGGTGAGTGCGGTCAATTGTTCGGTTGTTTGGTAATTATGGTTTAAATTCTCTTCAATTATTATTTGCAATTGTTTCGTACTCAGATTAATGGTTGGATTATGTTATGTACGCATCTAAATGCCCAATTGCGAAATTAGGGTTCGTCAGAAATTGAATTTGGGGCTTTTCGTATTATGAAATTAAAAATGAATTTTGTTGCTGTCAATGTTAATTCGTCAGTGTACAAATCTGTAAATGTGACTGTCGATCTAAAATTGATGCAGATTATGTCGTTTGTTAGCTCTTCCCCTCCTGAGGCCAGAAAATGTAAGTGTGGTGTGCCAATGGCCAAGCTCACTAGCTGGACAAGGGAGAATCCAGGCAGGAAGTTCATATCATGTAAGTTTTATGACCCAATAACAGAAACAAGGGGTTGCAAAGCTTTCGAATGGGTTGATCAACCTGATGGAACAGATTGGCAAACAGGGGTTATCAACAACCTGTTGTTGGATAAGAAGCTGCTAAAGGGTGAAGTTAATGAATTGAAAAGGGAAGTTGATGAAATCAGTGGCCAAAGGAGGTGCCTACTTAATGAAGTTGATAATTTGAAGATGAGATGCAAGGCCTTGAACGCTGACAGGAAGAGAATGAACAGGGAGTGCAATGAAGGGAAGGTGTCTTCAATCAGCTGTTTTGGTTGGGTGGGCATGGCCATTTGTATAGGTTTGTCAATGGGTGTAATTTTCCTAATGGCTAGGGGTGTGTAATAGTAAGCTGTATTAAGTAGTTATAATTTCTTGTAATGACTTGAAGTGTTATAAATATGTCTTTTAATCAACCTATTTATGCCTTGTCTAAGTTCCTATTTATGCCTTGTCTTTTAATCAACCTATTTAAACATGTGAAACATTAAAACATGGGAAATATGTGAAACACTAAGATAGTTCAAGTACAGGTTGACAAAAGAACCTTACTTCAACATGTTTCAATGGCAATCAAAGCCATGCAACCATTACAATTCAATATCTAATTGTTCAAATTTGTTAAGGGAAGCCACTAAAAAACTAGCAAGTTACATAACCAGTCATGAGTACATAATAAAAGTTTGATATTGTTCAACAGACATAATGTTTGATATCCAGCATGAGTACATCACTGAGTAAGGTTGTTGAGGGATTGCAGCCTGGCCCTTGTTACAACACCTGTGGCTGTTGTAGGCTGACTTGAGGAAGACCTTGTCTTTCTTTTTGGTTGGCTTGAGGCAGGCTGACTTGAGGAAGGCTGAGCTGAGGATGGCTGACTAGAGGATGGCTGAGCTGAGGAATGCTTAGCTGAGGAAGATTGTGGCTGTGGGCGCTTGCTGAATGGCAGACAACCTTCTTGCTCTTGAGGAAACTTTTTGTTTCCTATGCTGTTTGGTCCAGCCCCAATTGCACTCTATGACATGCATATAAAAATAAAAAGTCAATGGAAAAGACACATACATATATAAAACAAAGGGGGAGTTGGTGTAATGCTTGTACAAGCAGGCATTCTACAAGTGTAGCTATTGAACTCACAGCCACATCTATATCTACACTGAACTGTAATCCTTTTACTGTCATTATGCAAGTAGTAGAACTCATACCTGTTTTGAATGGCATGAAGTCTTAAGGCCCTCCTCAAGACTGAAGCATTACTGAATTTCTGATTTAACTTCAACTTGATTGGGTTGTCAAAGTCCACATCAGCATTAAACCAAGGAGCATAGTCCTGTTCCTCATCAGATCCACACAAACTCCTTGAATCATCTGAATCAACATCACTTTCTGGATTCACCTTCGGTTTTCCAACATCCAAATCATTTCTCAACTCTACTCTCTTATCTTTGCCAACCCTGTCATCTACTGCACTCTCCAAACCTTTCCTAAGGCTCTTGTTCACTTTGGCCAAGATCTCCTTTGACCCTTCAATATACCATTCCTCATCCCCTTCATCAAATTCTTCTTCACCAGGTTCCCAATCTTGTCCCTCATCACTCAAATCTGAACTTGAATAACCAGATCCTTCACATCCATCATCCTTTTCTTCATCAAACCTCAACACTTTAGCATTAGCTGAGGCTTTCCTAGGTGGACTCTCCTCCCTTTGTTCAGTTTCTGTCTTCTTAAACCTAGGGCTCCTCCTAATAGTCGATGTATTTGAACTTTCTACCTTCTTATCCTTTTTTTTTGTCTTTGCAGGATTGGGTTGGGCCTCTTGTATGGGCTGACTAGGAGCTTCTGTTGTTACAAAAACCTCAACATACCCCTCTTCATTTACTGTCTCCAAAAGGCCCTTAACCTCTTCACTGTTAACTAGTTCCCTTTTCCCAGTGTTAAAGGTTTTCCCCTTCTGCCTATACCAACAGCTGTAATGCATAGGCACATCCATATCACCATTAACAAAACCATGAATTGCAGCTGTTCTAATCAAATGCACATCCAACTTAGATACTTGAACCTTCCTCTTCCAGTAACACCAACCACCACACCAACACAGCAGCTGCCTGTTTTTGGTTACTCTTTTAGGGACAAAAGCACCTCCCACTCTAAGGCAGATGTCAACCAAACTATCCTTGTCACCCATTATCTACCCACCAGTGAAAAACATATAAAACATATTAAAAGCCATGTAACTATACATGCACAATACGAATAAACAAATCCATCACAGCCACACAAACAAACACATAAAAAAATTGAAAATAAACATATACAAGCCAATGTAGGTGCTCAGTAACATAAATTAATCAACAAACCACACTTGCTAGTTTAATTAACAATAAACCACCTTAATTAATCTCTACTTTCAATTACGAAATCCAATTAACCTAAGTCGCATAGTCAGTTACAGAAATTGATTTATCAAGGCTTTCCTACTGTGGTCCCAAAATTTACCCTAATTACCCAATTATTGCAAGGTTTACAGCAATGAAGCACCAGTAATTGACGAAATTGCTATCAAAGGAGAGCAATTTTACCTTATTTTCTGTGAATTTCAAGCGGCTTTCGCACTTTTGTAGTTGAAGAAGATGATGAAGAAACCCTCCTGAGCTTATCTTCTCCAACGTTGACACCACCCTACACTCCACTTCTCAGCCAAGATCTCCTTTGGTTCAAAAGCGAAATCAATGAAGGTTCAGAAAGAATTCAATGCAGAAGGTTGCTGCGAATTCAATGAAGAAAGAAGTTTCGTGTTTTGCTGGGTGAAAATTGAAGTTCAAGCCAATTTGTGGGACCCACGTTAAATTTCCGTGACGGAAATCGTTAACTGGTGTTAACTTCCAACTTTTATATTTTTGGGAGGTGTTAAAATAAAAGTTTTTTTTTGGGGGGTGTTAAAAAACATTTTCAGCCTTTTGTAAGGTGTTAAAATCCAAAATATCCTAATTCAAATATTAAACTCTTTTTTTAACCTATAATTAACTAATAGTCAAAGATTAGCTTATATAATTTAGTTCTTTTATATTTTTTAAATAAAAATATAGTATAAAACGCATTAAAGTGTGGTTTGCGGTGTGGTGTGGTTTGGTCTAAATATTTTTGAAAACGCACCAAGTCGCAAACCGCAATTTGGTCATTTTCAAAACCGCACAGCAATTTTCAAACCGCAAATCGCAAAATTGCGGTTTTTGCGGTTTGATTTGCGGGTTTGGTGCGGTTTAAACCGCACTCTGTACAAGCCTAATCATATATGTCATATAATAAATTAAAAATTAGTCAAACTTATTAAAACTATGATAATTTTGAAAACAGACAACAGAAAAGTGTAAACACCTTTTTCTTGTTTCCAGTTTTTGGTTTTTTGTTTTCAAAAATACGGAAAACTAAAAACAAAAAACAATGCCAAACAAACCCAAGTATTCGTATTATATAGAGTACCATTTAATTTTTCACGGTATCAAAATATACGTCTTAAAACGTACATGTTTTTAAAAAATCATAAAATTTTGACATTTTAAACGTAAGCATTGAAACCATTCTAATAAGATCTAGCATGAGCAATATGACTATGTTTTTTCTTATAGATTAATGGGAATATGTCAATCTGAATTTGTGGTTAAAATTCTTAAAGTTTAACCCTTTTTTTTAAAAAAAAACAATAGAGTAATTTGTAAGAAGAGATAGAGATAATATACTGAAATTTATTATACACACGCGGGTGCACCGTACATCCAAGGTTAGTTTTTGCTCTTATTTGATGATTAAATGAAAAACAATCATCAAAATTAGAACAAAATATTTATGGGTATACGGTATACGGTATACCCAGCTGTACATAACAATCTGAGGTATTCAAGATTGATGGGTTTATAAATCGGTTTGAGTCAACTTCATTCGAGATACTAATGAGTTGGATCAAACAATATGCATGTAATTCTTCTTGATGACGATAATGGTGCAAAAGGAAATATTGAAAAACAATAAACAAATTTTTAAAGTCGGTCTTGACTCGCACACATTGAACTAGCTTGAGGATTCTAGTTCATTAGTCGTTTCTAATCTTCAATGTTCATATATTTTGAGTTTGAGCTTTACCTATATAGTTCATTTGATCACGCGAAATCTCTCGTGTACCAATCAGTTAAATATTAAGGTAAAATTGTTATTTTTCTCAATTAACAAATTAAAATAGATAATCATCATTTTTTTGTTTGATTACAGAAAACAAGCAATTATACTCATTTACATAATTTGAACTATTGGTAAATCTATTAACTTCAGATTAATAAACCTTACGTTTTTTTTTTTTTTTTTTTTTTTTTTGAAACAAGCAACCTATATATAGTAAAGTAATATAGTTAAGTAAGTGACACGTAAATAATGTGTTTGGACCTTTCAAAAAAAAAAAAATGTGTTTGGAAAGCAGACTCCATTAGTTTTTTTTTTTTTTTTTCCTTCTAAAACATTGATTGTTTGCCTCGTAACATTTATTAACCTTTACCCCCAAAAAAAAAAGTCAATTAACACATTTAATTATCAATGCAACATTCATTGATCATTAATTCATTACAGTCACTTTATATTTAATGAAATGCATAAAAATAAAAATGGTTTCAAAAATTGTCTGAGCCCGGGTTCGAACCGGGGACCTCTAGTGTGTGAGACTAGCGTGATAACCGACTACACCACCCAGACTGATGTGCTATGGACTGTTAAGTTTATCATCAGTAGTAGAAAAAGTGGGTTTAGCTTTATTAAACTACAAGAATCTTGTTTGGTAATCGGGAACACATGGCAGACTGTTACAGGTTTTACATAAATTAATTAAAAAACAATGGGGAAAATAATTAGTGTTAGTGATGACCACGATTAAAACAATTTGTAAAATAATGAAGATAAGGTTGCTCCTGTTGATTTGCAAATGCATGATTGCATGCAATTGCAAAATTATCCGATATTTAGTTGGTGATATTCAAGTTTTTAATACATCGGTAGTATTCTTCCACCAACTATAGAAGACCCAAGCTAGATACTGACAGCTTGATGACAAATTGACAAGTTAATAAAAAAGAACCTTCGAGTATGAATAATGAATACTCATATTGATTAATCAATATAATGACATTATATATCAATTTCTGAGTCGCGATAAATAATTTATTCATACTCCCCCATTTAAATCAAATTTCGTTTATATTAATATTTAATTTGATACACACATGCATGCAGGTTTTCTCTACGCTCCACGCACGACTTATCCACCAAAAACATGGGTCATATTCATATATATTCATACATGAGACATGTGCATGGCAGCAAATTATCGTTCCCGTCAAAGCATAACAGTACGGGCATACGAAAGAATAGTGTTATAATTCCATGGTTAAATTAGACCGAATTCAAGACCTAACAAAAAGTCAACACTATAATATGAATAATTATCAATTACGTGCTAAAATTAACATTATATTATATAACATTCCTAATTAATTACATATACTTCATGACTTGATATTCCTCCTACCACATCATTCATTTTTTCTCCACTAATTAATTATATATACTTCATGACTTGATATTCCTCCTACCACCTTATTCATTTTTTCTCCACTAAAAAAAATGGACATTCTTCGTCCTACACTATTACTCTCCTTCCTCTTCCTCTTCCTCATCCTCTTCCTTCAACCACCAACCACGGCGGCCAACTCCGTCGTGTACATCTCTAAAACCACCTTATTTTCCGACTACGAAAAAATGATCACTAACCTTAAAATCTTCATTTACCCAACACCTAACCACCAGCAATACGACTCAACTCCTTTCTCTCTTCTTCATAACTCTCTTTTAACCTCTAACTTCCTTACTCACAACCCTAACCAAGCTACTCTCTTCTTCCTACCTTTCCCTCCTTTGTCCACGCGCTCCCTCGACCGCCACATTCAGCTCATCCGAACGTCATTCCCTTACTGGAACCGCTCCCTTGGGGCTGACCATTTCTACTTTTCTTGCCAAGGGGTCCTAGCTCTAGTCGAAACATTGTCGAGTTAAAGAAGAATTCTATTCAGATCGCGTGTTTTCCTGTACCCGCGCGTGAGTTTATCCCTCACAAAGATGTCACCTTCCCTCCATTCACTCTTCTCCCACGCGCTCTACAAAGTGAGGGTGTTCCCACGCGCTTATTAGGGTATTGGAGGTTTGTTGAGGTACAATCAAGTGTAGAGTTGGTCAATGGGTTAAGGAATGATGGCGAGTTTTTGATTGAATCTGATCCGTCGGATGAAGGGATTTTTATGGAAAGGGTTCAAAATAGTAAGTTTTGTTTGTTTGTTTATGATGTTGAAGGGTTGGAACGATTGAGTGTGGCATTAGCACAAGGGTGTGTTCCGGTGGTGATTAGTGACCGTCCAATACAAGACCTACCGTTAATAGACGTGATTAAATGGTCCGAAATCGCATTGTTTGTGGGGTCAAATATGGGGTCAGACGAGTTAAAAAAGGCGTTGATCCACATGCGAGGATGGCACGTATGATAAGATGAGGCAATTGGGCGTAGCGGTGACACAACATTTTGCATGGAATGAGTCGTCACCAGAGCCATACGATGCGTTTCATATGGTGATGTATCAACTATGGGTTAGAAGACATAGCATTGGATATTCTAAGTGGGAAATAATGTGAGTAAACGGCAACCGCCTGATGTGATCATGAATCATGATCATATATTTTACCAAACCCCTTAATTAATTGCTATTAATTAATTATAATTACTTAGTTTGGTGGAGTAATATTTGATTTGTTGTTGGTCGTGGAATATTCTAGGGTAGAAGAATAATGGAGTGGAGAAATAGGCATGTGGTGATGTGTAGATTGGGTGTAAATGTTATGTTCGTTGCATTTGATTTTTCATTTGAATGACCTAATCTATACTTCTTTAAAAGCAATTGGTAAGGAAGCAAGTCTCATCTACCATATCAGTTTAAACTAAAACATTTGGTTGCACTATATATCCACCATATATACATTTTAGTTCTACTTTGAAGATCTATTGGCTACTAGCTATGTTTATTTCAAAGATTTCCCTCACATATTGTAATTATAAAAAAAAAAAAAAGAAGACATGGCCTATCACCTATATTTGCACTATATATGGTTGTGATATTTGGTATATGTGAATTGTAAGATGAAAAAAAAAAAGAAAAGATTTGAGTTATGATAAAGTTATCATATGAAGTGCAAGTGAAGATAACCTTATAGGAAAAAATTACTACTCCTATATTTCACTTTCACTCACCACACCACCCATTAGTCTATATTATCCATCACTTATCTAATTAAAAACCACACTAATTATTATTAATATTAACCTAAATTGATCATATGAAAATCTCAACAATACGCCACTTGACTCTAACTCCCTCATCAACCATCGTATCACCATCTATATATTATTATGGTCTTTGCCACACCACAAACCACACAACAACAAAGCGAGTGTAGATCATAATTAATTTGCTTATGGTGAGAAATCAAAAGAATGACCCGGTTACTACCTTATTGTCTCACTGCCTTGTCTCAGCCAATATCAGCTCTCTCACCTCCTTCCCACTCCCAAACCCTGTATTCCAAAATGAACTCATCTTCTACAAAAATCTTCCGCTGGCTTGGGCCTTCTTGGAGGAAGAAAAGTCAAATCACGCTTGGATACATCTAGAGGCAATTTATACCACTTGCATTTTCTATCAACTTTTCTAAAATAAAATTGTACTTCATATATGACTTGTGATCGTCATATTTCACTCATACTTATGTCCAAACATCGAATAGACGAATATGCCAAGAAAATGCCATGATATGCTTCAAATGACAAACAATCAACAAATTAACCTAAAAACGAACTACAACCTCCCATTTCTCCACTTCTTATTACGATCTAGTTGGAGTTAAATTCACGAATCATGATTGTCATAAAAATTAGCACGACATCTCTGAATTGCGCCCACCTCAAATAGAATATAGGACATCAATTCAAAGCCACTTTTAACTTTTGTCGTTTAATCAAAAGCAAATCTGCGGTTAAAGAACGAAACTTTGTGTAGGCTTGCGGCAGCAGCCACTCTTGTTGCTCACTCCTTTATCTAATTTCATCTCTTTCTCTCTCCTCACCAACCTCCATTCACTCAAATCCCAAGCTTCATTCATCATGTCAGCAGGTAACAATTTATAATTTTGATGTAATTTTCTTATCATACAAGTTAATTTCTATAATGGGTAATTATATTTCTGCATAAACTATGCATTACAATGAAGAATTGCATTAAATTTTATCTGGGTTTCTCTAAAAATGCAGTCTTTGATTCAATTTGTTCAACCTTCAATGAAACTTCCCCTGTTTTTTAATTTTTTTTTCTGGGTTTTTTCAATTAATTGTAGAGGGTGGTGATGGATTGGCGAATCCTAAGCCGTCGCCATATGAAGAGGCAATGAGTGCGTTGTCATCTTTGATTACTACTCGAACTCGTGCTGAGAAGAGCAATAGCGGTGATCGCTTTGAGTTGCTGTTTGATTATATTAAGGTTATACTTTTGTTACTATGCTATTTTTCATTTCATTATATGTTAAAATAGGTGACTATGATTATATTAAGGTTATAGTTTTGTTATTATGCTTCATTTTCATTTCATGTTTGTCTCAAAATTATTTGATTTTTTTTGGGATTATTAGGGTAATGATGTATATTGGATTTGGGTGGGATTTTGCAGATATTGGAGTTGGAAGAACCAATTTCTAAGTTGAAGGTTATTCATGTGGCTGGCACCAAAGGAAAGGTATTTGTCTTCAATCCTTTTATGTTAATTAGACAATGAATTTTTCTAAACGAATATCTATGTGTCATACACTCATACAGAAACATATCTCCGTGTCATATGGAAACGTTGCAATTAATTTGAAACCGAGGGAGTATTTCTGAAGTGATTTCGCATTTGTGGTTTGTTGGGGTTACTGAATTGTATAACAAAATGTCTTTAAGCGGGCTGCATTGTAGTCTCTCACAAGTCAGCTGTAGGATTACTGATCTTTCATGTCATTAAGAGAGAAACAATGAGCTTGTGTTATAGACATTAAATGATGATTCTTTTGTCTGTCCATGTGCATAGGGTTCGACTTGTGCTTTTACTGAGTCCATATTACGCAATTGTGGCTTCCATACCGGGCTTTTTACATCCCCGCACTTAATTGACGTCCGCGAAAGATTTCTATTAGATGGGTAAGTTATAACTTAAAGGTTCTTTTCATTCACATTAACTGTTCTAAAATTGTATGAAGTTGAGTCATGCTGTACACGTTTATGTTACCTTGTAAATTGACAAGCATAATACCAGCCACTACCCCTTTTTTTTTTCCTAATAAAATAGTAAGATTTTATTTTTCATTCCAAAACCCTTTATGTTTCAAGTTCTTTTATATCTTTCATGGCTAATTATATTTTTGTTTGTATGTCATGTTGACTGAGTGCTATTCTTATCATTGATCAGCCAAACATGCCTTATTTTGTAGCTTTGTCAATTATCATCATGAGTGTGGATTACAGTGTGAAGTCGCAGGGTGGGGAGGGGGGATTTATAATATATTTTTCATGGTTTCATGGAAGAAATGAACTTTTATGCGGATAAGCTGGTACAATAGGTTCTTTAGGGATTCAAGGGCCAGATAAATGAGATGTTAATGACAGTGAGAGCTGTTTTGGGAAAATAAAACTGTTGGAGAAATAAAAAAAAATTAGAGGAGCTTATTCTTCATTGAGAAGGCTTTCTATGGAAATAAATATGCTACTGATGTGATTGACAGTTGGAAGGAGTAAACAATCATTCTAAGTTGCTTAAAGGGTTTTTTTTTTCCCCCTTTTAATTGTAGGGACTTAGAGACTAATGAGAGTGCAAGATGTTTTTGGACATATGGTTCATGGGTTACGCACTTAGGAATGGTTAAGGAGAATTTTGTGAGGAAGTGGTTTCAATCTTTGATATGTAGCAGGACAAATCTCCTTTTTCTTGATGGGATTTATTGTGGTTTTTTATGGATTCTTGGTAGACCTGTCGAGTTGATCTTATGTTTCATTTACAGTGCTTTAGTTGTTAGCGTCACAATATAAATAGGTAAGAAGATGAGAATTTTTTTTCATCGATAGTCTTATTATAGTGTTCATAAGAACGCAAGTGGGGTTTTCAGAGTTTCGGTAGCCTGGGATGTTTATATCTCAGCTGTACTTTTCAATGGTGGGTTGACTGCTATTTGATACGATCTTAGTGACTAAAGTGGTGGAAGAGATTCAAATATTGAAGTTGATTAGGATTTTCATTAATGGTGTTGTTTGGTATGCCATTGATACGTTAGTTGGGAGAAAAGGTTTTGGAGGTGATAAAGTTGGTGTACTGGGGACTTCTTCATTGGTATTTCATTTATTTCATTTTCATGTAATCATGTGAATTGGGGGGGTGGGAGGGGGGGTGGGGGGACACTGGGATTTTGGGTCTGGTTATCAATGTAAGTTTCAGGTAAGAGAAGCCATCCTACGGTGATTTTGAAGATTGATTTAATTTAAGTTTATTTGTGGAGGCCAGATTGTTTTAAGGTAAGTAGATTAGGATTCTTGGATCTACTTTCCTTTCCAAGGCTTCACCTCAAGATAATCATGGATGCTTTCATCTTTATCTGAATTATGATATTTTGGGCTTATGCTCTTTAAGTACTTAGCTACAAAATTAAGCCAATTCAGATGGTAAGTCTGTTTAATGAAGTTTAGTCTCTCCCTTATTTAGGCGTACCTTTCAATAATGGAGAGGTGAGGGGTTTGTCATCCTAGTGTCTTCTAATTTAAGGTCTTTTTGGAATTATGTAGTGCCTTAATTTGAAAGATAAGTAACGAACTGACAATTGAAAGTGTAATAGCTTTTAACTTGGAAGGGAAAGATCTGCTTTGCCTATAGGTTTTCCTTAAAATTTGTACCATGTCCTATTTTCCATTTTTTGTGGATGAGCTGGTAAAGTTTCCTGCCTTTTTATTTCTTACACCAATCCAATGTTCCGTCCTCATCTAACTTCCCTTGGACGCCTATATCCTCCATCTTTGGAGTCTAAGCCTTATGTACCTGAACTTGAATTAATTAGTCATTTGATGGAGAATGTGTTGGATAAGCAAAAAATAAATTAATATTGGCACTATACTCTTTCAGCCTATAATTGCCATATTTGCTAAAAGGGAATAACATCATTATGTATTATCACAATCAGAATTATGTATAGTGTTGCTACTGGGAACTGATGGTTTATATTCCTGTAGGCATATGTTACTAAGAAAGTAGCCTTTAGGGAAGGACCTCTATAATAAGATGAACTGTGAAATGTGTGCTTCTTTGTTGATTTGGACAACTCTCTTCTTCTACTCATGTTTTCCTCTTTATATTCGTGTGAAAGAAACAGGTTCTATTAAATGGAGTTTTTTTTTTTTGAAGGGGGGGGGGGTGTTTGCATGTGTTATTTCACTTGTTATTTAAGCAGTACTCATTCACTCATGAGGCATTGATCTCTTTTGTAGTGCTGAAATATGTCAAGAAAAGTTTTTGGCGTACTTCTGGTGGTGTTATGACAGGCTAAAGGTATCTTTTAAATCTTCTATGGACTGAATTTATCATGCCCCTTCGTACTTAGTATTCCTCCTTTTCTGTATGTTAAATGGTCTTTAGTTTCATATATCAGTTTATTAGTATTCTCTTATACTTGTATAAATTTCTTAGTAATTATTACCATGTCACACTTAGGCATAAGCTCACTAAGATGATACATGGCTCACTTGATGCAATTCCCTTTATGATGATTAGGTGAGTTTGTATAACCTTTAAAGGTTGTAGCTCAACTTTTCCTTAGCTTCTCATGTTCACCAATTTGCCCTTGTGTTATGTAAAGCTTTTGTTCTGTGTTTGTCTTGAATGTTTCTCATCTTGAGCAACCTAGAGCATCGGACAAGCTTTAGGACATATTCATGTTTTGATTTTCAATTTTCACATAAATTTTTTGATATAATATTAACATATGTTGTTACTGTGAAGGTTAGGGTGATCAAACTCAAACTCATGTTATTGTGATGTTCAACCTAATTTGTAAAGGAAAAGTATTCTTCTCTGAGCAATCATTACAATCATGATATTAGAAGCTAATATCTATCTTTTGGACAAAATGTAACTAACCAAATATATGCTTCCATTTGCAAATTGTGCTACAGCAATCAGGTGGTTTCAGTGAGATATTTGTAGAACCACCATGCCCCTAGGTTAACTAATCGTGTGTCTTGTGTGCAAACTTAAAGGGTTTTTTTTTTTTTTTTTTTAAAAAAAAATAATCTAAAAAGCAACTTATCTGAGATCATCCTGTTTCTAACTTGTTGCCTTTTTATACCTGGACTCTTCTATAATTGTTCCAATGCAATTTTCTCTATTTCTTTTTCTTATTTTTTTGGGGGGGGTGGGGGGTGGGGGAGGAGGGGGGTTGGAGCTGAGGCAGGAAAGGGTGAAGTTAATAAATTTCTTAGTCCTCGCAATAATTAACATTGCATATGTTGCACTGCTTCATACACAATTTGTTGTTTGCAAACTTGCAACGGGTGACATCTTGAATTCTTGACTATCCTGCAATGCTTTAATAAATCTGATCTCTTCATTCTTCTGTGTCCACTCCCATCAGAGTCAAAGATTCACTATTCCTTGACTATTGGATTTTAATGAAGTAAATTATAATGCCTCATTGAACTTTGCATTTGTATAAAATTTATTTTGAATTATCATTAGATATTTCATATAGGATCTTTGAAGGTAAGGCTGTTTACGTTTGACTCTCCTTGCCTTTCTGAGGGTGGGAGTGTCTTTGGATGCATTGGGGTCATGATGTGTTTTCTCTTCACTCTTGAAGCAGTTTATGTGGTTGTTCTGTGCAGGAAAAAGCTACCAATGACATACCAATGCCTACATATTTCCGCTTCTTAGCTCTTCTTGCCTTCAAGATATTTTCTGCAGAGCAGGTAGATTATGAAACATCATCTAATCGTTATCTCTCTCTTTCTTTTGCTAGTAATATTATCTTAATTTGATAGATTGAATAATATTACTCAAAGCCTTAAATTACAAGCTAAAATTTGCAGGTTGATGTAGCTATCATGGAGGTTGGGCTGGGTGGAAAGTTTGATGCAACAAATGTGGTGCGATTTATGCTTCATACATCGCATGTAGTGTGTTTATGTGGCTGCTACCACCAATGTTGATCATCCATGCTCTCATTTTTCAGGTACAGGCACCAATTGTTTGTGGTATATCCTCCCTTGGATTTGATCACATGGAAATACTAGGTCAGTGATTTTGTTCAAATTTGTAAACAATTGATACTGTAGATGTTACTTATTTAAAATTGCCCCAAACTGCTCATGCTGAAGGGTAAAACTTGAATAACAGCTGTTGATAGAATATTTGCTCTAAGGAATCTGATTTATTCTCATTAGGTCTGCTTGGGCTTGATTCTTGCTGGCAAGCACTTAAGGCATCTGCCAAATGCTTTTGAATGTTCCCCCTTGTTAACTGTACTTGTCAGATGCTATGTTTGAATCTATTGAAGTGACATTGACAGATGTGTTCTTTTTCAAATTTAATTCCTCCCACTTTTAGCAAGATATCAGCGTTAGCCTCTTGTGGCCTCCAAACATGAATTTCCCCATCTCTTAAAACAATATATTAAAGAGATTTGTTCTAAGAATTCCTCATCTGCGTTATTCTCATATCTAATGATTAAAGTATAAAAAGTATTTATTCTTTTATATATGCGAACTACTGTTGGTCATATATCTGTATTGAAAAATAAAAGAAGTTTTATTGCTGCTGGTCGTCCACACCTAAGCTACGTAATCTGTTACTATTGGAATTTGAGTCTTTCTGGTTCAACTTGGATAAATGATAGATCTTTAGGTATATTATGTAAAAAAGGGAATTTTTTAATCACACTATTTAAAACCCATATAACAAATTCTACTAAGCTGAGTACGGAGATTTTTATGGTAGAATAAGTCAGTTGATCTTTCAAAGTAAAATGATAGAAAGATGCATGACATATGTACAAGGTACAACCATAACCTGATGGGACTTTTGCTGAAGCAGGGCTGAAAATGGTAGGATCCATGCAACTTTTCCAGAAATAGAGTGAGAAAGTTATACTAAATTCTCCTCCTATCTACTTGTAGTTTTGTTTTAGTTGAGATGGTACTAATTAAATTTGTAGTATAGGACTATAAGTTTATGTGGATTTTTTGTTATGCAAGTGATTTGCTCTTGATATTTAAACACCTTGCTCTTGGTGGGATCAATGTGTACCTACAGCTATTTTAACGAACTTGCATGATACAACTGTGTGATTGATCATCATCCTTCCTCCCGTTGTTTTTTGGTTTTTCTATATGTTCTCCCTTTCTTATAGTCTTCTTTGTTTGACATTGCTGTAGGAAACACTCTTGGACTAATTGCTGGAGAAAAAGCTGGCATTTTCAAGGTGTCCATGTGTTTCTTCTCTTTATGAAATTAGTCATGTTTATTTTACTTTTTAGGTGACTTGAGCTGGGAGGAGAATTTCTAAGGCTCTGTTCTCCCCACTTATATTCACTTATTTCATGTCTAATAAGTTCTATTATTAAATTTTATGTTAGATAAAATAAGTTAAGATTTAATGAGTTCAGGGCTCTATTCTCCCCACCTTATTTTCTCTTATTTTAGGTCTAATAAGTTTAGATAAGTTCATTAAAAAAAAGTTAAGATTAGTGAAACTCAGGTGATCTCTCTCTCTTCTAACAACTTTGAGGTTTTGTTGCAGCAAGGTATTCCTGCTTTTACTGTGCCGCAGCCTGAGGAAGCAATGTCTGTACTTGAAGAAAATGCCTCAAAATTGAATGTGAGTTGAATTGTAGTTATTGTCGAAGGAAATTATATTCTTATGTTTATTTCTTGTCTACTTTCTTACTATCCTAAAAGGCTTGTCATATTGTTGGATAGCGCGGATTGCAATTTAGAACACTTGTGAGAAATCGTTACAATGTACCTAGAGGAAATAAATCTGCAAATTCTATCTTTTTTGTCCTTTTTTTTTTTTTATGTTTATGAGTCATTATTTAGTGTTATGAAATTAGGTGAAGTCCACTAGTTCTAAGAATTTCTTGCATTTCAACAGAACAGCCAACCTTTATTCTCTTGGTGATTAAAACAGGCGTCTTAGTGATATCTCTGTGGTTTCATGTTCCTAGGATCTACATCTTTTTGTAATTTGGCTCGAGTACAATATACCTGTAAATTTATTAAACAACTTTTAATCTTAAGGCATGAAATATTTTAAGTAGTTCTGCAAATTTGGGTGATTGATCAGCAAAATCTTATTGCAGGTAAATCTTCAAGTAGCATCTCCATTAGACCCTAACTTGCTAAATGGCTTGCAACTTGGTCTACATGGTGAGCACCAATTTGTAAATGCTGGTCTTGCTGTTTCCTTGTGCTCTACTTGGCTTCAAAGGACTGGACATGTTGAAGTCCCCTACCTTCTAAACACTGTATGTCCGCATTAATCATGAAATTTGTTAAGTGGTTCAATTTAATTTTTATTCATTAATCAAATTATCTATCTATTTTGGTGTGGATCAGAGCTCCTTGCCTCAGCAGTTCATCAAAGGGTTGACAACTGCTAGTCTACAAGGAAGAGCCCAAATTGTCCCTGATCAATATATCAGCACCGAAGGTCATGGAGATTTGGTATTCTATATGGATGGAGCCCATAGTCCAGAAAGCATGGATGTTTGTGGAAGATGGTTTTCGAATGTCATCAAAGAAGATGAGAAACAAGTTAGCTATGTAGAGCATCCACTTTCTGACAATTCAAGCATATCTTTTGAAATGGCACATAGTTTTCACAATTCTGCTTCAAGGAAAAGCTCAACTCAGGTAATGGTATAGAGTTTACAAATCTTCAGTTGTGCAGTTCGTTTGAAAATGACTTATGGAAGTTGGACATACACTTGTTTTGCTACTTGCAAGACATAATGTGGTTTAGGTAGCCAATTCTATTTTTGTAGTTTAGGTAGCCAATTCTACTTTTACTTTTGTTTTGGCAGTCGGTAGCCAATTCTACGATGCTGATATTTTATTATTTTCTGCCTTTAGTTTTCTGCTGCATGAAATCATTTCGTGCTTTATGATTAATCAAGTTACATTGCTTTGCTTGTTCTAATGGTGTAATAAATAGGGAGTAATAAAAGTCAAACTAGAACTGATTTCCTTATTTATCTAAAAAAGGGGAAGAATGTTTAATTAATATGAATTGAGACAATAAATTTCAGAACATTATTGATACTTTTTGGTGTATATTATACCTGCCAATGAAATCATGGAAAACTAATTTGCTATTTTCAAACTTGCAGATATTGCTCTTTAATTGTATGTCTGTACGGGATCCCCAGTTGCTTCTACCACGTTTAGTGAAAGCTTGCACAAGTCATGGTAATAGGTTGAGCAAGTCAGTTATCAATTTAATTGCTTATTTACCCTAGCTTATGTGGTATGAGAAATTGCATAATCTGTGTCTTAACATGCTGAGAGTTCATTTGCCTGCATTATTATTTAAGCTTTCTACATTGCTATGACTTGATGGAAGAAACCCCTTTGTAAATGTTATTATCTTGTCTAGTAATTGTTAGGGATTTTTTTGACATTTTGCTGAGATTAAAGATATTGTAATAGTTAGCTGAATGCTTTGAAATAATAAAAGCATCACTATATTCAGTAATTTAGCTTCTTAATAGATTGTTATAAATTGTCTCCCATTAATTTTGGAGTAGATTTTTTTTGTCCTGGTTAATTCACTAAAGCTTATTTTAATGATGATCAGGTGTGCAATTTAAACAGGCGTTCTTTGTTCCAAATATATCAGTATACAACAAGGTCGCTACTAATGTGCCACAAACAGCTACACGAGCTGATTTATCATGGCAGTTAACTCTCCAGAGAGTATGGGAAAGTCTTGTTAATGCGGATAAAGGTGGGATCACCCCTCACATCCTCCATCAATTGTCTGATTTTGGCCCTTGTGCTTTATTTTTGTGGACTTGAAACATAATTTGCAAGATATTGTGAGCAAGATAATGAAGACAAATAATGCAGAATAAAATAAGCATTTTCGATTTGGTTGTATTGTACCTATTTGAGTCTTATGAGTTCTTATATGTGAATCAATGAATCTTTTCAACTGTAGGCGGGTCTGCAAAGGATTCAGACCTCAGTCCTGATGAAGCACAGGATGAAAAGGAGAAGGGTATAATCAGTGGTACAAACAGCAAAGTCTTTCCGACACTTCCCTTGGCCATCAAATGGCTGAGAGACAATGCCCGACAAAATCAGTCTGTTCGTGTACAGGTAGAACAAGTTTTTCTTTCTGATAGCATCTTACATTACCTGCTCGAGCATAACTTTTAACTTGTATGAGCTAATATTTCAGGTCCTAGTAACGGGCTCCCTGCATTTGATTGGGGATGTTTTGAGATTAATAAGGAAATGAAACACAGATGAGTTTTCTTGGTCCCTTGCATTTGTATTGATTGGAGTCAAAGGTTTTTTTTATGGACTCAATAACCAGCTTGAGAAAGCCATCTGAGATACTGCAAAAGCTCACATTTTTAAGAGCAGCCTACTTAACAGTTCTAGCCAATCTTTAAAAATTGGCACACTTGGCTGTTGACAGGCAAAGATACGTAGCAAGAGAAGACTTCTGATGCCTACAAATGTGCTTTGCCACAGGGTAATTATGAGTAGATCCAGGCTAACAATCTCTGGAGTTTTTATATCAGTTAGTATCGTTATTTTCTGAATCACCAGAGAAAAAGGAAAGAAAAAACTGAAGATTTCTCAATTATCTTTCATTTTTTATTATGTTCTATTTCTGGTGTTGTAATTTTAGTGTTTCATTGATTACAAATCTTTATAAACATGAAACACACCCATTCTCATCATATTTCATTCGAAACAATCATCTATTATGCAATTTTGACAAGCTTCCTAGTTTTTCAGTAACATTATTCATTGAACCTTGATTTGGTTTCATAAATATGATTAGTCCGTGGTTATACCAAGGCAATCATCTTTGCTACAGATCGTCAAGAATGGATGTTTGGTAGATTTACTATTATGATTGGACCTCAAACAGTAAATCTAATTTTTTTTGGGCCAGGCTAAGTTTGGTTAGGTCTACTTGTACTCCGTAGTTCTTAATACAAGTACTTGTAACATTTAGACTTTTACATTTGCTAACAATAACTTAATAGAGTGTTAGAATGAATAATAAAAAGTTGATATTTTGAATTTATACTTGTAACTAATTTAACGTTTACATAATTATAATTGTTTTCCTTGTATCTCAGGTAAAATTGTGTAGATAGTATAGATTTCATCAATGGCTATTCAGCACCATGTATCTTGGGAAAGTAGATAGGAGGAGCTGAGGAGTTACAAGTATATAAGATACCCTTGACAATTCGAGAGTCAAGTCATTCCCAGTATCAGGAAATACAAATCGGAGTCTCAGAAAGGTCACAGAAGTATGGAATACCATTTCAAATAGGCTTGGTGGTTTTAACAACTCCAGCACTGATGCTATCTTCGGTCTCTACTCTCTAGATGGACAAGATCATCAGCGGCCATAAGTGCCCGGAAAGCTTTTCATAGTTCTTTGTAGACCTTACATTAGTGTCCAAAATCACAGCTGATATTTACATCAGTCTCAAACAACACTGATATATTTTAAATCACATAAGAATAAATCAACTAAACTCATTGCACGAGGTGAAATTGCGAATTCACAGGGGCTTTGAATTATCAAGCCAACTCACATTACACAAATTCTCTAATGGGTCTATCTTTAATGAAACAGTGACCCACAAATGAAGCTAAGAGCTACCACTACACATATACAAGAAACTGAATTATGGTATTGGCACCATCCGGCATTGGAGAGAAGAAGAGCCTACGTGAGGATTTCATTATTAATGACTGCATCCTTCTAACCCAAAACCTTAGTCACGGATCACCAAAGTTGCAGGAGACATAGCAACTTCCCTGTACTCGATAACCAGCAAGTCTATTACTTGTGTCTTCATGTAAGTTCTTCCATCAACTAGAATGCAGAAGAAGGCAATTAGTAAGTACTGGCAACATAAAAATACTTGCTGAGTAGCTGTGGGCATGCGGTTACAAAATTATACAAATAATAACACCTACATCAATCATATAAAATGAAAAAAAGACAAGGACGGGGCAAAACTAATTAGTAATTTTCTCACATATGACATCAATGCTGCAGTCATTCTCTTCACTAGCTTCATAAATCAAGCAGAGGAAAACCCTTTCATACTCGACTTATTCATGAAGAGAATAGGTTGAATTGGCTAAAGTTAGAAACATAGTGTTCATACCCTAAAACCTAAAATATAGCTCCTAAGATTACAGAAAGAGAAGAAACATAAATATAGAATTCTATTACACAGAAACAATCATGGATCTAGCCTTCTAGGCTATTAAGCAGTTATGCTCTTCATAGTAAAAGACTAGCACGGATATTACTTCCTCTTTCTCTTAGTACCTTTTCCAAAGATAATACAACAACAACAACAACAACAACAACAACAAAGCCTTAGTCCCAATATGATTTGGGGTCGGCTAACATGAATCGTCATAAGGAACCATACGATATAAAGAAAAAGACGTAACAAGATGATCATTTGAAAAGTTTGAAAAAAGGTGAGTAGAGTGAGAAAAAGAAAGTGCATCCAAGAAAAATTAAGGGAGTTTTAAAAGAGAACCAAGAATAAGATTTAAGAAAGTTTTCAAGGAGTGGTTAAAACGTTGGAGTAAAAAACATAAAGGTTTGAGAAATTTTTAACAAAGGAAATCAATATAGTTCATGAAACATAAGTGGGATAAAATAATAAAATAAAATACTAAAATAGATTTAGAAAGTATATATATATAATCACGGCATGTCGATGATGTGAATTTTCTCCATCCACACTGCCCTATCCAACACCATATTTTCATGTCACTCTCAATCACCCTCTTCCAAGTTTTCTTAGATATTCCCCTACCTCTCGCGATCCCAACACTATGCAATTCTTCAAGCCTCCTTACCAGGGCGTCACTTGGTCTCCTTCTTAATGGCTAAACCATCTTAACTGATTCTCCTTCATCTTGTACTCAATCAATGTAACCCCTACTTTCTTCCTAATTATCTCACTCCAAAAATAATAAATAAAAAAATTATAGTGACTACTCAACTATCAGACCAAAAAATCCATTGTTGTTATTGAGCTCAGTTACTCTGAATTCTCAACCATAAGAATTCAGGAATCTAATCCAAAAACTTTGAATTTAGCTTGCTCAAGGTCCTCCATTAAAATACATATGAAAAATACAGTGTTGTTATTTACAATCCAGACAGAATGAAAACATCAACAGCTGTCTAAAGAATACCTCAATAATGCTTATCATGAAGTATAAGATCATGTGTTCCTCATGATCAATCAACCATTTGCCATGGAAAAAGTACCCAGCGACCATAGTACATTAGTAGATGCTAAGCTTTTAGTTAACGGTTACAGGTTCATTACACACTACAGTCCAGACTTTTTAAAGCACAAAGAATGGCATAAAAAAGTGATGATGACATTAAATGCATATCCACAAGAAACCTCAGAGCTCAGCTACATGCACGTGTTAGTCAAAAATGAAAGGCAGTTTCAATTTGGATTTGCAAGAGCACAGAGACCAAGAGATGTATAAACTTAATGATTTAACAGAAAGAAAGTTGGAGCACGGAATAAAAACAGTAGAGATGACATCATGACGATGGCCTTAGACTTCTATATTTCTGATACATCTTTTAAGGTCCAAACTTTCTTCCAGCAAATTTTAACAATGACAAGCTGGTCCAGCTTACCTCCATGAGAAGAGAATAGTAACTCCTAGATGTCAATAAATTGATAACTCACTATTCAAGGACCCAATAGCCAACAGACAACTATAATACAAGATACCAAGACCCATTGACATAAAAATTAACTCAAAACCCACCAATATTGGCAACTAAGGATTCATTCTTGGCACCAAAGGCTTCTCTTAAATTATTGGCTCCAATCAAAACTTATCTGAACCAGGGTGGATGGCGCTCATAGGTACTTATTGGCCCTTACACAAACTTAACTTAATTTTCCTAAAACTTTTTTCAAGATAAAAAGAACAAGATATCAGTCTAGGAACATGTTACAGATATAATTAGCTTTGGAGCCAAATATACGAGGAATTAAACATGTAGATCACTTTTGGTTCATGTAGCCAACCCCACTTATGGGATTAAGGCTTTAATTGATTGATTGATTGTTTGTTGAATTGGGCCAAAATTACCAACTTGCCAGTATAATACACCTTTTCAGTTCAGGGGGTTGGGGGTAAATAAGGTAACACTAATTACCCTACATGTAGCATGTACATGTCAAAGTAGGAGTATTTGTGAGAAAGAGAGAGAAAACCCATATTTATTACTCTGAGTTTGAATTATTACTCCCTCGGTTTGTAAATGTTTTCCCCACTTTTCATTATGAGAACTTTATAATGTTTTGCACACTTCTACTTTATTCTATATTTGGCAACCCATTGCTCCTCTCTTACCCCACAATATTTACACTTTTCCGCCCACTCTCTCTTCATTTACCTTTTTCTTACACTCACCCACCGTTTTATTCTATTTATCTTACTTAATCCACCTTCCTCTTACAACCACTCACTTTTATCAACCTTTCCTGTAAACAAGACTACAAGAGTCAACGGTGAGTAAAACGTTTAGGAACAAAGGGAGTAAAAAATTGGAAAACCATACATAATTGGCTAAAAGAGTTCAGAATTCTCAGTGGCTAGTATACATAACTTTCAAGTTTAAACATATATTGGCGATAAGCACGTCACGAAACCACACACACACACACACACAAAAAAAAAAAAAAAAAAAAAAAAAAAAAAAAAAAAAAAGTGGAAGCGTGGTCATAAGGTCAACTGCAAGGACTTCACAATACCAGACTACCAGCACCCAAATTTTAAAACGAGCAGTAGCAAGGTAATAGAGAAAACAGGAAACGCCACTTATATTAAACCCAGGTATGATCATCAAATATACAGTTTCAGTATAAGCAGTATGGAAATGAGACTTAAGACCACCCAGTTCAAGGTAGAGAAAGAAAAACAACGTACCCTATCAGACCAAAGGTACCGTAAGTCCATAATTATGCAGGAATCACATTTTTGTCGACATCAAAAATTTATTCTTCTTCTCTGCTGGCTTGAGAATTTGAAAAGAGCACATCAGGTTCTCGTCAACACTCATCATCGCTCCAGCATTATCAAATTCACCACAGTAATTTGGGGCTGAAAATATAGTAACCAGCTGCCTATCCGCAAAGAATTCATAACCATCTTCTACCACCTAAAACCAAGAAAACCTTTGAGCAAAACAGCAATTTGACTCTCAGGAAATAAATAAAAGGAACTATCCAAAAAGAAAAGGCAAAAACCTGATGTGCACGGCAGACCAGGTCCAAATCATGCTTTGTCAAGAATTCCGACACCTTATCAGCACCAAAGGTGTAGGAAACTCCTCTATCATTCATTGCCCATCCCTTAGCATCATGACCAGGATCTGCCCAGAGCAAGTCACAAAGCAGACCTGTATCAGGTACAGCAGTAGGGCGAGGTAAGCTTCTAATTTGGTCCATGTTTTGCAGGTCTGGAGAAAGTCCACCGTGCATGCACAATATTTTATCATCTATTAACGCAGCAACCGGGAGACAATTGAAGCAATCTGTGAATGTCTTCCAAAGTCTCACATTAAACCGTCTCTTGCATTCATCATAAAATCCGTATATCCGATTAATGGAAGCACACTCGTGATTTCCTCTAAGAAGGAAAAAGTTCTCAGGATACTTGATCTTGTAGGCAAGCAGAAGACAAATCGTCTCAAGACTTTGCCTGCCACGATCAACATAGTCCCCCAAAAATAGATAATTTGCTTGAGGAGGCAAACCACCATACTCAAAAAGCCTTAACAAATCACTGTACTGTCCATGAATATCACCTGAAATACCAAAAGTTGGCATTTGCAAGATAAATTTCCAAAATAAACCAGACAAGAAGTACTTTTCCAAACATGTTACAATATTCCATTTCGAATTGCAACAACAAAAGAATTACACATTGACAAAAGTGAAATGAGAAACGGTGCAACTAAAACAAACAAAGTAATAATCACATCAAAAGCACACAACAATAAGCCTAAATCATAAAATTGAACAATATCTGCCAAACCCAAGTCTAGTTCAAAGGTCAATATCCACCTAGGGAACCATTTTTGTAATGCTTTGCACTCATATACAGGTAAGCCATTCTAGATTGGAATGGTCAACTCAAGCAATTGTAAAATCCTTCCAAAGTTCAGCTCCCACTAACTCAAGCAAATCCCTATATATATATATATATATATATATATATATATATACAAAAAAAAGCTTTGTCCAAAAATTCAGGGGCCCAAAGATAAATAAAAGTACACTGGAAAAGGGCACATTTACAAGGAAGCATAGTAAAGATATACAAAGCAATCATACATATTACATAGTATAAATTATATACAATGCTAAACACTGCAACATGCTACTTTGTGACATGAACTGCCTAAACAACCTTCTTTAACTCTCATCATATTCCAACAATCACATATGACTATCCTCCCTCTAGTTTTGATCCGTCCAATTTGATTGTTTTCTTAGTTAATAAATACATATTAAACCAATTGTCCTTTTGTTTAACCCGCAATGCCACTACACGGTGGAATCTGGCCCAATATTAAACTCTCCTTAACCAGTATAATTAGCCTAGCCAATTCAAGCCATTATGTTACAAACTTCTGGACTATGCTTCCTTGTCCTCATTGGACTTCTCCTCATTCTTCTTCTTCTTCAATTTCCAACACTCGACTTTGATATGACCCTTCACATGACAATAGTTACAAACTTTTCCTTTACCAAAATTCTTATTACCACCATGAGCAACCAAAGCATTATTTTGAGTTGGATTATTAGATTTATTAACCAATTTATTGTCAATTAAATCTCTGTGGGTTAAGGCATCTGTAACATCCTCTAAACTCATATCATCTCTACCATACAATAAAGTATCTCGAAAGTGCTTATACGGAAGAGTTCATCGATGGAAGCAACAATAAAGTATCTCTACCATACAAAATCGATGTTTTGCAAATCCATAATAATAGAGAAGAATTCATCTAAATAAGACTTAAGCGGTTTACCTTCTTCTAGACAAAGATCATGAAGTCTAGATTTAAGTAGTAGACGGTTGGTCACGCTCTTTGTCATATAAAGTGACTCCACTTTAACCACAAACCCGCATAAGTCATCTCCTTGGCAACCTCTCTCAAAACATCATTAGAGAGATATAATTGAATTGCTGAAAGAGCCTTCAAATCGATCTCCTCCCACTCATCCAACGTCATGCTCGAAGGCTTTTTGGATTCATCTTCGAGAGCCTTGTGAGTTGTGACAGCCACTTTGAATCAAGATGGCTTTCATCTTCAATTGTCATAGGCCAAAATTCACTTGCTTATCGAATTTCTAAATGTCAAATTTCATTGGCATATTTTAATCAAACTAATCTATAAACACCTAAAACTCAAGACCTTAAAATGTGGCTCTGATACCAATTTATTAGGAAAATGGATGAGCATTGATTGATTTAGGTTATGTGTTTGATATGCGCAAAATAAACAACAATATATAAAACATAAATTTGAGAAATATAGTGGAAAATAGATGAGATGAACACATATATAAACGTGGTTCGGTCAACAAAACCTACGTCCATGGGGTAAGGGATAGTATAATCTTATTAGTTTTCATGGAGGATAAACAAGAGAGATTGGCATGGAAAGAATATCACCAATTTCAAAAATATGAAGGCAACACTCTAACCTCACAATATCCCAAGTCAATTCCTCCTCTCCAACAAAAAAGACTCTTGATCATTTATCATTATCATAGAACTCTTAACACTCAACAAATACTCCACCATAACTTCCTGCCAATCTGCGACCAACGTCAAGACCACGCCACTACCACATCAAATCCCTCCTTTCCACCACCACCACCCTCAAACCACCTACGGAGATGCAGCGAAAGCATAGAACTCGTCCCGGTTTCCTCGCGGTAAGAACATTTACTTCTTTTTATGTTTTTTTTTTCGCTAATGGCACTTGTATTCTTACTGCCTTTTCAAGACACCCGAGAGAGTGCTCGTAAGAAGCTCTGAGGCCTACGACTAGCGGTTCCTTCGGCTTCCGAAGAGGCTTTACACATTTTTGAAATTGGTGATATTCTTTCCACCCTTTTCATTTTCTGCTTTGTTCTTGGTGTAGGCTGTTGAGCTTCTGAAACTTGCGATTACCGACGTGGGACCCCGATTGCTAAAAATGGAAGCAACAGTATTAAGGAACCAAGAGCAGAAGCAAGCCAAGAAATGGGAAGCGGTATCTTCGGCTTCCGAGCGCCCAAGTCGAAGAGGCTTTAAACCACCTAGAGGAGGTATATATATACACATTTTTGAAATTGGTGTTATTCTTTCCACCCTTTTCATTTTCTGCTTTGTTCTCTGTTGATCATCTGAAACTTGCGACCGACAAGAGTACTGTCGTGGGACCCCAACTTAAGATCCTGCTATAAATGACAGAAACTGAATTTAGGAACCAAGAGCAGAAGTATGCCAAGATTGCCAACAAATGGGCCGAAGATCTTCTAGTGTCGTCGGGAGAAATACTTGAAACCTCTACTTCCTTGGTCCCTTTTGGGGAAGATCCCGAGAGTGCTAGTGAAGATATCCTTCAAAATTCAGCATAGGAAGTCTTGCCGTCTACCTCGGTCGACTGGGTTAGCCTCGGAATTGTGCAGATCTAGTATTTTTCATGCCGTACTTTTTGCTCATCTCTTCATCTCTTCTGTATCCGGTTTGCCTTGTACAAAAATCTATTTTTGCGTATTTGTATCTCGGCAACTTGTTTTCCCACGTGTGGGCGGCAATGAAACATATTTATGTAGTATATAGGACTTATGAGAAAGTCTACAATACATGACAAAATAACGCTATGTACTATTAAAGAAAAATTTGTAAATACTAAGTAAACCTTTTGGCCATCTCTTTTATTATGTCAACCTTTTGATTATTTATAAATATGTCAACTTTTTTTTTGAGTAAATAAACATGTCAACTTTTGATTATTTATAAACATGTCAACTTTTTGAAATTTTCAAATAAAAAAATGAGTTAATATTTTAAACCAAAAAAAAAAAAAATGAGTTAGTTTTTTTTTTTCCAAAAAAAAAAAGATGAGTTAGCATTTTAATGTGTAATTTCAAAAAAAGCTGAGTTAGCTTTTTTTTTCATAAAAGAAGTCCTTTTCATGGTTAATTTTGGAAGAGTTATGAGTGATTGAGTGGTAGTTGAAGTTGGATATCAGAAGTTACATAGAGGATGAGTTTAAATGCTCTTCTACTTTACTTTCACTGTCTATTGCCATTAAAGCCATTTGTTGTTTAGTATCTTGAGCCGCGTGTGCATTCGTTGTGTTAGGAAGATGAGAGGTTAATTTATCTAAAATGGGCAAAACAGAGGAAGCTTGATTAGGTTTTGTAGGCTGATTTTTAGGTAGCCAATAGGCAGAAGATAGGGATGACAATGGATCGGAGGTGGGTCAGGTGATGCTTTATTCGCCTCCACCCACTAACGATCCATTCGTCATCCAATCCATGCATCCACCTAATTTATCTTCATCCACATCCGATCCATCTATCATCCATGGATGAATCGTGTGATACTTTGGGTGAAATAAAATATATAAATACAATTTTGCACTTTCATAATTAAGATAAAGATTTGAAAAAAGTGATTAATTAATTAAAACTTTGATACATCTTTTTAATATTGGCTCCTTTTTACTAACTTAAAAGTACATGTTACTTCCTAAACCTTGGAAATGGACATTATATTATTAATAAAGATATTTATTTATATATATATATATATAAATACAATTTTGCACTTTCATAATTAAGATAAAGATTTGAAAAAAGTGATTAATTAATTAAAACTTTGATGCATCTTTTAATACTTGCTCCTTTTTACTAACTTAAAAGTACACGTTACTTCCTAAACCTTGGAAATGGACATTATATTATTAATAAAGATATTTATTTTTATTTATATATATATATAGATTTAACGGGTGGATGGATGTGGTCAGATTGGGTGATGGGTTGGATGTATCATCACCCGAATCCGACCCGTCACTCAACTCATCCATCATCCATCCGTCACCCGCTTAAGTTCGGGATTTCATCTATATATTTGGATTGGGTAGATGGTTATCCATTGGGTTTGGATGATATTGCCACCCATGGCAGAAGAGCTTTGTTTGGGAGTTCATCAATTTTATAACGTTTTTTTTTTTTTTTTTTTTTTTTTTTTGCTTCCTTATTTCCATCTTTCAAAACCTTGTTGTTATCAATTTGGGAAATGGGACCAGCTGGTTTGCACTTTTTTTAACAAAAATCTTTTCCTTATAACGAGGGTCTATGGACCATCAGGACCCAAATCTTGAGTGGTTTTACCAATAGATTTATCACAGGGCTCCAAATCAAGCCTTTTATCCAAAACAAGTATTTGACTTTTTAAAGGCACATCCTTTTCCTTTACAATAGCCTAATTAGACTTATCCTTAGCACTAGGATCCAAATTCACTTTTGACATGTTACCAACATTATGATCCTTAACACCATGCACACCTACTAAAGCAAATGTTTGGCAATTTTTCTTAACATGGCCCACCATAGCACATGCAAAACATAGATTATATCAAAGAGATGATACACATACAAGTATACAACCATTGTATGTGAGCCAACATACAACACCAATTAAATATTGCCAACTCACCAATTTTCCTTTTATAACACAAGGAAACCCTACTTTAATGGGAGGTAATTTAAAATAAGAATTTGGGGTTTTGTAAGCTATGCCCTCGAGATTGTCAAGTTTCTAAGATGTGTCAATGCTTTTTCAAAATTACAAGTTGTGACCTTCAAGTTAAGGTGTTTAATCAACCATAACCTCTAGCGTTAACTCGACGTTAATCAATCAATCAAAACCTTAATCCCATAAGCCTTGTTAACTCGACATTAATAATTGTAAAAATTGGGAAGAAATAAGAAGCGGATGAGAAAAAAAAAAGTACACCGAGAGCTTGACATATCAATGGTTGCTTTTAGAAGAAAGAAAAAAAGTAGATAAGAAAAGATGGGAAAAATGCTTAATATTAATCCCCTTATATAATTGTAATCCAATTTGGGCGTGAAATTTCTCTCCAAAGTGGGGTAATTAAAATTTGACACAACTACTAACGTTGGGTTAATATTAGAGGGCACGGTTGAATAAACACCTAAAGTTGTAAGGCACATCTTGCAATTTTGAAAAAGCATGGCACACCTTAGAAACTCAACAACTATGGGGACATAGCTTAGAAAAACCCAAAAAAAAAATTATGGGTGGAAATAAAAAAAATTATGGGTGGTAATTCAAAATAAAAAAAAATTTGGATAGTAATTTCAAAAAGCGAGTTATTTGTGGGTGGTAAAATACAAATTTTCCGAATAAATAAGAAAATTTTGATTTATATAATATTGTTTATAACAACACACTTGTATTTATTTTGTAGAGGTGAGTGGGGCAGTTAAAGTATTAAAAAATTATACCAATTATTAAAACTAATGAATGTGATAGGAAAGAAATAATAATAATAATAATAATAATAATAATAATAATAAATAAAATAGAAATAAAAAAGTAGTGGTGGGTTTGGGTGGAACCATAAAAGGAGAAAGATATAATATTAAAATGTACGAGTAGCTTTTTGTCAAAAAAAAAAAAAAATAAGTATAACACTTATTAAAACACGATCGCATTTGATAATTATAACACTTATTAAAACACGAAGGGAGTATTGAAATTTATTTTTAGATGGAGTGCTATAATTACAGAATTAGACTTTTAGAGTCATGTCATTAAAATTGACTCCTAAATTAATATATATCAAGTAGATTAAATTGATTGTATATTCCCTATGGCCTCTATTTTTTAATACTCTTGTTTGAAAGTCTATAATTATTTACGATTCGAGGGAATCTTCCTTTTTTCTAAATTTTTAGAGCACCTTCGAGGTTCAATCCCCCCTAACGACAATTGAGGAGGTTCAATCCCCACTAGTGACAATTTAAGAGGTTCAATCCCCACTAGTGACATTTTCCTTAAGTCTTGTGCCCATACTAAATGATGCAATTAAAAAAATGGAGGAAGTATATTTGCTTTCAAGTAGTTTCAACCAAGTTGCCTACTACGTGCGTAGAGAGGCTTAACTAAGTAACTAGTTTACAAAAATGTAATTCCCTTGTGTCACGGTCCATTGTGAAAGTCTAGCAGCATGCAGCCCTTATGATCCGCACATAATCATTTATAGAAAACTTAAACAATCTAATCCATAAATACATTATACAAAGCTGCAACTTGCCACACGAAAAAAAACCTTCTTGCCTTTTCAATATTCCATATGATCCTTAAGCAAAAACAAAATTCCAATAAAAATCAATTTTTCCTCCACCTTTGGACATCTCACTGCCTTACCCTTAAAACTGCCAAGGCAAAGTGACCCTAGTTCTTTTGAAAAATTACAGCAAATATTGTATTCGTACTGTTCCCCGACTTCCCACAAGCTCCTTAAAATTAGCTGGTAGGAACTTATCTTAGCAAGGCTCCGTCAAATTAAAAGCTCCTTTTCTAGATCTAACCATCTTTACAAACAAACCCCTCCACCAATTTTCTCAGTAAACCTTGCACATCAGTTTCATTATCAAACTAATGCCACAAACCCAAATATCCAATGCACCTTCTCTCCCAACACGAAACCCAAATTAACTCAACGAAACAACATTTAAGACACCAATAACAAATCACCACTTCATCATTTCAGCATAAACAAGTAAAACAACCCAGAAAACCTCCTTCAGATTGATAAATATTGAAAAAAAAAAAAAATCAAATGCAGATTAAACAAGCCATCAAAACCTAAAATTAAACCCTACCAAATTAACTAAAAACATCAATTGCAAAGATTAAAAAGGGGGGGGGAATACCGCAAATCTTGATGGGGGCTTGAAGTTCGAGAAGATTAGGCTGATTAATGAAGATTTCACGAGCAGCAACGCAAAGCTGACGGATCTCAGTCTCCGACAATTGAACCTGTTTTCCAGGACGAGCAAGACGAACCTCCAAAAGGCGTCTGATAATGTCGTCTAATACAGTAGGGTCAATACCTCCTTGACCTTGATTACCTACTTGCGTCGCCATTTTTATCAAAGAAGAGAAGAATTTGAGCTTTTTTGATTGAAATCGATGGTGAAAACTGAAACCCTAGAAATTTGAAAGGAGGAAAAGGGGTTGAAGAGGAGAGAGAAAGAGAAAGAGAAAGAGCGCACTTGCACTTTCTCCCTCGCTCTGAGAGAGAAAGACGAAAGAGGGAAAAGTATTTGATTGATTAATAAAAAAAAAATTAAAAATTGATATTTTTATTTACTTCGTATTATTGTTGTTGTTAACTCTCATTTTTGTGTTTTACGTGGGATGATGAGTGGGTCCTTTTGGCCTTTTATCATTTACTGGTGTGTTTTCAAATCTTAAATCTGGGAAGGTACTTTTGATTTTGATGGATAATTTAATTTTTGCAAATTTTAATGATCTTGTATGAGATGTGTCGATACATAATTGTTGATTGAAATTGTCGATATGGAACTATTTAATTAATTTATATAAATTTATATCATCCAAATCATTTGCATCTTAAGTTAGCTTGATTTGTATTATTATCTTTGTGTATTGACGCTGAATATCTTTGTGTAAGGCTTAGAGGTTTGGTTTTTTGAACTTCTATCACAATAAGTTCTTGTTGTATTTTGTAATTGTCATAATGTTATTCCCATGACTAACAATAATTATTATCATGTTATTAAATAGGCTAATTCAACATGAGAACGAAGTTATAATTCATAAGATCATACAGCTAAGAATTCTGCGAGCACTTGTTTACTATGAACATTCCTCTAGGTAAGTTCAAGCATTTTACATAATCTTTTTTCTTTAAAAAAAAAAAAAAAAGTTTAAGCATTGCTTGATTATCTTGATTGATCTTTACAACTTGTGATAGTAAAATGACAATTTTATTTCCCTAAAGATTTGAGGCAAGTTGGGGATTCTTGAGGGTGGTGCCCTAAATTGATGATTTGTTGATTTAGAAAGCTAAAACTTGATTCTTAAGGTTGACAACTGTTTTTGTTGATCCTCGATTGTCATGGTTAGTACCAGTTCATGAGTGGTTTGAGTGACTCGTTTTCTTGTTTGACATGTTTTCAAAACTTTTATATTTCCATTAAAAATGTATAGTGGGAACTTACATAGCTTCATCTCTTAGAATCATATATCATAATTTATAAATGATATATTTCTTGCTCGCTTAGCTAGTTGGGTTGACATTCACAAGGTTTTAGTCAGATAAAGTACCTTCTTTTTATCTAAAACAATCCCACGACAAACAATAAGTATGTACTTATTCAATTACGTACTTGATCGATTAATTATGGCATTATACCAAGCATTTAAACCTGGTAGTATTATCTTTTGGTACCCAAAGTTAGGCTCCTTATAAATAAAGTTCAACATAGTAAATTTAAGCTCCCCTCCCGATTAGCTCAAGTAGTTAGAGCTCTCCTTCCGATTCCAAGAGATTTTGAGATTGATTCTCATTATCTACCCTTGCGACTCTCAGCAAGTTAAATTAGAGAGGAAAAAAAAAAGGTGAAATTCAACCAAAGTAATTTATTCAAGTGAGAAGAACTTTATACTCTGTAATTTATTTTTTTATTGAAAAAGGATAAAAATAAAGCTTCAATCTAACTTCTTTTTTTTTTTTCTTAGTCGAAAGTCCATTAGCCATAATAGTATAATACGCGGTTTTATCCTGTGAGATTGAGAGGGATGTTGTCATTTCAAAGTTTCAATATAGTTGTACCACACGCATCAAAGTTTCAAAGGCGGCCACATGCCAGCTTTTAGAGATTGATTGATTGATGATTATGATCCATGCATCATATTCTCAATAGTCAAGGATTCAAGGCCATGAAATAATTTGCATAGTCTTGAAGCTTATCTATCATAAGACAAAGATGTAATAAACTGAACGAGCAATAATAAGTCAAGTACGTGTTTGCAAATATATGTGTTTTATTTTGGCATGAGCCAACGCATTACTAAGATTTAAGACATACTAAGATTCAAGACATAGTTATGATCGGTGCAAAGTCCTGGTCAAAGCATAAATTAGATGATTTGATCTGGCCATCAAATATGTCTCCCGGTCTCTTGGGATGCATGGAAAACATCTTAATGTCTAGCCTTATCAGGTCTAGAAATTTTCTTCGGATGCTAAATCGAAGGCTTCCTAAAAATATCATATTTAATCGTTATTCTTTAGACAAGATGTCCATGGAGTCGACATGGATGGTAAAGTTGAACCAACACCTTATTACTTCGTATTTATATTTATTCATTAGAATATTTCAAATGAGCAAATAAGCCAAAAAAAGCTTAAATATACCATGTACGTACTGTATGTAATACTCTTTACAATCCTTGTACAACAAAAATAATTACTCCGTATATTATTTGAAGTTTTAGTCACATGATGAATCTATTCAAATGAAAAAAAAGAATTAAAAATTAAATATCTTCCTAATTTAACTCCTAAGTAATGCATGTCAACACAAGTATCAGCCTTTCCCCACAAGAAAATAATGCATTGAAACTGACAAGTTCCTATAAATTGATGTTACAATCACATGATATATATAAGTTCTCATGAAAATGTAATTATATGATGATATTATCCCAGACTCCCAGCACTTTGCATGGTTATCAAAATGCCTACAAAACGGTGTGATCGCATGTGCATTCTACTTGTCTTTGGCCCATGCATTAGCTTACATATTTGGGAAATTAATCTCAAAGATAAATCATAAAATTCATATATAGTGCTTTCTTTGTAAAGGAACTATCTATATTTCCTGTGTGGCAAAAACCATCTTATAGCTATAAAACAACACCATGGTTATAGCTACAAAATAGTCCATCATAATCTCGATTAATCTTAATTGAACTTCATGCGGCTCTTAAAATCACATAAAGTTATAAGGAGCAATAACCAATTAATAATCATGATTTGGCCTTAAAATAGTAGAAAAAAAGAGTGAGAAAATAAATATTAGTAATATTAATAAGAAAAACCCACCTTGTTGCAAGAAAACATTATATAGTGTACAATATTTAATTTACTAAAAAAAATGAAGGTCTGCACCAAAAAAAAAAAAAATTGAAGGTGATTTTTATTTTGGAAGAAATATAAGATGGTGTATTACAAAGAAAATATTGTTGTATAGAATGTCCGCTAAATAATTTTTTACCCTTTCTTATGTATTTATCGTTTTATATGTAATTTTCCTTAGATTTAATTTGTTTAAGTAAAGAAATTGCATGTACTACATAATCTTTGCACACACATATATACACCATATACTTCCTCCGTTTTTATTTACTTGCAACACAGCCCTTTGACACGTATTTTAAGGGAGATATTAGACTAAGTAAACACGGATAAATTAATTCACGAAATTTTACCACCAATAAGAAGAAAGGGATAAGTTACTACGGTTTAAATTTTCATCGCTTAATTCATTCGTTTACCTAGTCGAAGCACCTCATAAAAAAGCTTGATAAAAAGGTGTTGCAAGTATAAAAAAATAGAGGAAGTATAAGACATTGGTTGTGTTTGGTGAAAAGCTGAAAGCTGAAGTTGATTGTGTTAGCTAATTTTGACTATCTGATTGTATTAACTGATTTGACTAACTTATTTTATTAGCTGATTGTACAAAAGTGTTTGGTAATAATTAAATAGTTGATTGTTTACAGTTGTTTGAGTATGTGAAATGACCAATAAGCTATTGTGGGGATAGGTAGTTGAGATAGGATTATAAATTAAATGGGGGTATAAGTGTTATTTCACCTTAAATATTGAATAAGCTAATGGAAAAAGCTCCTACAATAAGCTTTTTGTAAAAGAGCTTATTTAGTGGAATAAGCTCTTTAGACAAGCTTTTCACCAAACACTTTAAATTAGTTTATTTAATAGTCAATAAGCTAATGTTAGTCAAATAAGCTAATTTTGCTCTAATAAGTTGCTATCTACCAAACACAGCCAACGTAACTACTTATCCTTCCTATTTTTTTTGTAAAAAAAAATACTTGTCCTTGTTTTATGCAGTAGTAGGACCCGAAACAACGCAGAACATTTTCAAGAGTGTCCCCTATATACTATCAACAGAGTAGATATTTGTTAGATGGCTTATGGTTGTGAATTCATAAAGCAAGTGCATGCGGCATTTCTATAAATCTTATTGATCCCATCCTTAAATCCTTAAACATACAACATAGCCTACACACATAGTACATAGGAGAAATAATTTTGTACAACGTTAGTGTTTGGGTCCAATTTAGCCCAATTGGGCTTAGGCATTAAATGATCCAATTAAAAGCCCAAGGTCAAGGTTCATCTCTCCAATTGTGCTAAAGTCAAAGATCAGTCCTCAAGGCAAGCCAATGGGGCTAAGGCCCAACTTCTCCATGTATGCAGAGGTATAAAAGCCATCAATATTACATTTGTACATTCATTCAAGCAAAGCTTCAAGCAACTAATTCTCTTGCATAGTGTTCCCTTTCTACGCACTGTACTGACTTTAGCATCGGAGGGGCCTTCCTCGGCAACACCCCCGAGGCTAGTTTACGTGTGTTTACTGTGCAGGAAACCTTCGGCCCAACATTACTTGGATCGAATCTAGTCTTCTCCACTTCATCGGACCTTCGACAAGGTCCCATTGTTTTCACCCGAAACAATTTGGCGCCGTCTGTGGGGAAGACTTTCAAAAATCTTTAAGCCAAATTTCTAACCAAGATCATCTTGCAATTATCTTAGTAGCAATGGCTAAGAACCGCAAGAGCAAAGGCCTCCGTCAAGGAGCGGGCGAAAAGCCTAAAACCCCTACACCATCACCCTCACCGGACAGGAACTCTCCCAAGGGTGCCAGCTCGGGGGGAGGATCATACAGGGAGGATTCCCTTTCTCCCGTAATTCATAACTCTCATCATAGGCTGAGTCACTCTCGGTCTAGCAGGGGTGAGTCCGATCATAGCATGACACATTCAGTGCCCAAAGCCAACCATCGACTGTGCGCCCTCATTCCCATACTCGGCCGAGGACCCCTTTGACGGGGCCCAGCTCGGAGGAGGTGGCAAGAGCGCTGGCAGTGCTCATGGAGGCAATGAGGGCACAAAATATGCCACCACCTCGTGACCGAACTCCTCCGCATACCCGGCATCAGCGGAGGAAGCTAGACCATGATGGTGGGAAGCTTCCTTCCTTCCGGGAACTGGAAGAG